ATCTGGAACAAGAAGAATGTTCACTTTCATCACGCTCATTAAACACAGGACTGGAAACTAACGGCATCAAAAGGCAGGAAGCAGTGTTTTTAGAACTGTGTATGGGATTGGTGCCATGGCTCACAGGCTAATCCCCTACCTTCAGTGCCAGCATCCCATGTGGGCACCAGTCAGTGTCCCCGCTGCTCCACTTCCAATCCGGCTCCCTGTTTGCAACCTGGGAAAGCAGGAAATGAACAAATCAAATTATCCCTGTTTGCAGGTGATATGATCCGGTACATTCGAGGACAAACTACTCCACAGGAAACTCTTGGGACTCATAAGAGTTTGGCAAAGTTGCACGTTATAAAAGCAACACTCAAAATTCAGTAGCCTTCCTAAACACAGTCATGCCATTGTGGAGGAAGACCTTGTAAGGTCAGTTCCATTTATAATAGCTACGAAAGATGTAAATATCTTGTGCAAATTTAACCAAGGAAATGAAAGATCTCTACAATGCAAATTACAAAACATTAAGCAAAGAAATGTAAGGACCCCCCCCCCCAAAATGGAAAACTCTTGCACGATCATGGATTGGAAGAATTAATGTAATAAAAATGTTGATACTACCCAAAGAAATTTAGATTCAATGTGATCCTAATCAAAACACCAAGGACATTCTATTCATATCTAAAAAAAAAATCCTAAAATTCATAGGCAAATACAAAGCACCCACAAACAGCTAAAACAAAACTAAACAATAAACAGAAAGCTTAAGGCGTTACATTACCATGTTTCAAATATAGGACAGTCACAATCGAACTATCCTGGTACTGGCACAAAAATAGATATGTGGAACAATGGAGCAGATTAGAGACCACAGAGATTAATTCATGCATCTACAATCAATTATTTTTTGACAAACAAACCAAAATCATTCCCTGGAAAAGTAAGTCGTTGAACAAATAGTCTCCAGAAAATTGGATATCACAGGAAGAACTCAAAATAAGATCCCTACCTTACACCCCATGCAAAAATCAACACACAGTAGATCATGGGTCTAAACCTAGGATCTGAAACCAACAAATCACCAAAGGAAAATAGTGAGAAAACACTCCAAGATATTTGCATAGGCAAGGATTTCCTGGATTTGACCCCAGCATCACAGATGGGATTACATCAAACCAAGAAGCTTTTGCACGGCAAGGAAAACACTGGACAAAGTGAAGGGACAACTGACAGAGAGAGAAAATTCCCAAACTGCATATCAGGTAAAGAATTCATATCCAGAATGTAGAAGGATGCAAAGTGCAATGAAGTAATTAATTTAGTAAAGAAATGGGCTAAGGATATGAACAGGCATTCTTTGAAAGAGGAACTAAAAATGACTAAGAGACGCATGAAAAAGATGCCCAGACTCAATTGCCATCAGCGAAAGGCAAATAAAAACCACAAAAACAAAAAAACCAACCCTCCCCCAAAAAGAAAACCCACAAAAACCAAAAACCAAAACCAACAAATGCTGGAGAAGACGTGGAGAAAACACTTCGCTAGCACATTGTCGGCGGGGGTGTGAAGTAGTGCAACCATTACGGAGAACAGTATGGAGATTACTCAGAAATCTGAACATACATCATACGACCCAGCCACTGAGTCCTGGAAATTTACCCGACTGAAATCAGCAAATGAGGCATCTGTACCCCACGGCAGTGCAGCTCAAGTCAGCCCAAATGTCCATCCACAGATGACCGGATAAAGAAAACGGGGTACATCCATACACCATGGATGCCAGTCAGCCACAAAACAAGAATTAAATTGTGTCTTTTGCAACAAAATGGATGCAACTGGAGACCATTGTGTTTAGTAAAATAATCCAGCCCTTAAAAGGCAAATGTCATGTTTTCTCTGATTTGTGGTGAGTCTATATGACTCAAGCAGTGAGTCTATATGAATGAAACTGACGTTTTGAGATCTAATATTCATAGCCCTTGCCTATACTCCTCAGACAGGGTGTTTTCTCCACTTCCTACTTGCTGGATTCTTCATTTAATGAGGGATTACACTGTGATTATAAAGCAAATTGAAAGAACGTCAGGAGAAGGGAAGTGACAGCAGAAGAAAGGGGTAGGATTGGAAGTATCACTATTTTTTTTTTAAGATTTACTGATTTTTACTGGAAAGTCAGATACATAGAGACAGGAGGAGAGACAGAAAGATCTTCCGTCCAATGGTTCACTCCCCAAGTGACTGCAACGGCTGGTGCTGCGCTGATCTGAAGCCAGGAGCCGGGAGCTCTTCTGGGTCTCCCACGCGGGTACAGGGTCCCAAGGCTTTGGACCATCCTCGACCGCTTTCCCAGGCCACAGGCAGGGAGCTGGAAGGGAAGCGGGGCTGCCGGGATAGAACCGGTGCCCATATGGGATTCCAGCACATTTAAGGCAAGGGGATCCTGGTGCATGCAAGGTGAGGACTTTAGCCACTAGGCTATCGGGCTGGGCCCATATCGTCCTCTTTTCCATATTGTCTCCTCCCTTTTTCTTTCCCTCAACGGCTGACTGCTACCTTCCGTCACTGCGGCCTCTGGGCCACATCCACCCCTGCCCTCTGTCACGCTTTCCCAGCTCTAACACCCCGAGAACCCCACTGCTGAGGGCGCCCATTCTCCCGGGATCCCAGCGTCCTGGCCCTTCACCGCGGGCGTCTCGGGGCCCTCCCGCCACCATCTTTGTCTGCTCACCTGCCAGGACCTCAGAGCCTCCCGGCGGAGGGATCCGGGGAATGGGCGCACAAGAAAGAAGTCCCCGGAAGTCGGAGGGCGGGCCTATAAAAACGGTGAGTTGAAGCTCGGCGGTCGAGTGTCCACGTGGGCGTGTGGAGGCTTGGCGCCGTGGAGACGCCCGGTTGGCGATTTCACCTCAGGTAAAAGGAGCTGATGGAGAAGGAGAAGAGGAGGCATCCTGGGGCTGAAAAGAACAAAAGCCCAGGCTAGGCCTAGCCTGTGGAAAGCCAGACATCTCTGAAGAAGAGAGTGAGGCTGACTGATGTGGGGACCAGAGCCCCAAGCGGCGTTCGTGCGCCCGCCCGTGGGGAGTGCGGGAAGGCCGGTGCGACCTGAGCCCGCTGCCGGGGTTGAGGGGCCGGTCAGCGAGGGAAGGCCGCGGGGTCAGCGGGAGGCCTCAGGTCAGCGACGCCCCGATGCGCCCCCTGCCGCGTGCGCTTCCACCGTGGGCCGGCAGGGGCAGTGCGGAGCACAGGGGACAGCCGTCTTGCAAGCAGCTAAGGGAGCGATGGCAGAGGGTTGTGCAGATCGAGTTGACCATTTTAAAGTACTTTATCCGTGACTTTGCTTGTTTCTTCCGTGCCTTTGATTTTAGAAATAACTTAGCTTCTTGATTGTGGAAACAATTCCTCTTACTTCTCATCCGTCACTATATGATGGATTCAGTTGTAATCCAATGAAGCGAATTTGACTAATGAATTTCTGACACTGTGAATATAAGGTGGTATCTTTCTTTAGAACTGTCTATTTAGCATAAATTTCAATGATTGACTTTGACACCAAGATAGTTGAATGAGGACGATGAATCGAGAGGGGATATTAGCCTCACAGAAAGGAAAATTTAAGACAAATGCTGGTAACAAACTGACTGGATAAACTAGGCAGAATTGGGGTTGATTTCACCTTTCAAAATGTCTTCTAGAATGAGAATCAGGTAAAATTTTTTGGCTGAAAGTGTAGTAAAAAAATTAAAATCCTAATCAGTATTTGTTGCAAACATATTATTGATGCATTGTGTGAAAAAAAAAAAAAGCAGAGAAGTGCAAAGACTGAAACATTCTCAGAGAAATAATCATCAGTAAGAAAATGTAGTGCTGGCGTTGAGTGAGAGAGGGTAGTAGCAGTATTCCCACGCCTGCTGGTACCAGAATCTTAACCACATTGAAGCTAATCTAGATAATTAGGCTTATTTTGGTTGAAATATGTGTTATAAGAACAAAAAATTCTTCTGAGTTGTTCATCAAATAAACTCATTTTGTTTGGTTGTTTTAGAGGCTTGCTCTTTGTTTTTTTAAATCCAGAAATCAAATTGGGTAGTGAGGCATGTTCCGTTTGCTCCCTGACTGTAACTGACACGGGGGTGGAGTGGAGCCTGCTGACCTGAGTGCTGTCCTCAGGACTTCTGGTCCAGCACCTTCACAGGAGACCCAGAAACGGGGACAATTCACACATATTTAAACTAAGGATGGAACCAAGGGAAAGCCGTTTGGATTAAGATGCGCATTTCGCTCACCAAGATGTATGTTTCATTCATTAAAGTTAGGATACACTCAACAGAAACTTCCAACTTCATCTGAACTCTCCAAGACATTGTTGAAATGATCATACAGCTGAGAAGTGATGGACAGGCGTCATTCCTGGAGTAACTTCTGAAGCGTGAAACCTCGGGATGTCACACGGCCGACGTCGTCCTGGGCCAACCATGCACTCTAAATTTTACATTCTCAGTGCTTCATTCAGTGGATTTGCTGATATATCAGAAACAACCCACTGATCAAGTAATATGCCATGGACACTTTATTCTCATACATCAGCTGGTTAGGATTCTGATTTCAGGGTTTTTATTTTCCAAGTAAGAGAATAGAAACAGTTTGCTAGATACAAATCTGTTTGTTCGGCAACAGGGTCCTGCTTCTGGAAAGATCACTCTGCCAGTCTTAGAACTCCTGTGCACAAAAGGTCTTGGGAAAGGTTCATTGAAAGTGCTTGTTAGGAAAAAGCAATTCATGGATTTCCATTTTTTTTTAATCCACCAAAATAAATTTAGTTTTAAAATTTTACCTTTTTACAGACATTTCGAGATACTCTTGTAAATGTCCTGCTGTGGTTAATTTTTAATTTTTTAAAAACGAGTGAACCAAAGTTTTGTGTTAAGGGAGATTTTCTCATTTTTCTTTACTAGCACTTAATTATAACTTTTATATTTCCAGATGTTGACATTTGCATTTTTTTAGAAAAACAGATGTTTCCAGCACTCAAATATTGTGCAATAGACTATGAATATGAGGTATGTATTACTGATTTACTGCCTGTTTGCTAAGAATTGTGATATAAAAAGTTATCTGCAGTTAATATATGTGATTTTGTAGTAATCCTTCAGCTAACTGCTTTATAATTAATTCAGCATTACTTACTGCTTTTAATGTGCCAGAAAATAATTTACTTTTGGAAATAAAATTACTAAATCTAAATAATGTAAATGAATTGAGCTCTTAATAGAAAAAAATTAACGTCTCTGAAAGCTGCACTGTTAGGCTAGACTGAAACATCCTCAGACTTCTGTACTTGCTCATGGGCTGTAGTTTCCAGCTGCTGTGCCACTTTCCATGATGTGATTCCAATATGGTGCGAAGCTTGCAAAAGAGTATCTTGTGAAAAATCATGAGAATAATGTTAAAAAATGCTCAAGCATTGAGTCAAGCTATTATCAAATGAAAATCTTGCACCAAATTAGATCAGTTAACAGGGAACGGGAAGAGAAATGTCTGAATGTGAAGAATCAGAGGTACTTTGGGAAAGTCCTTGAAATTTTCAAAAAATATTTTCTCTATAATCAAAATTGAAGAGTATACATTTCATACAATGTAATTTATGAAATGACTATGAAAAACCAATTGCAATTACAAGCTAATTTTAAGCAATATTTTGTTAGATATCAAACTTAATTTTATAACTTTAAAATTTTATTCATTTGAAAGGCCAAGTTTTATGTAAAGGATCAGGCATGCCTTGTTTCCTGTTTACTATGAACCTTTGATTTTCATTTTATGTAAATTAACATAGGTGGGATCTTTAACATTTATTTTTGGATAATGAGAAACTCTGATTTAACACCTCAGCAAACACATAACTCTTAAAGTATAAGAGACTGTTGTTTATACAAATACATGGGAAGATGAATTCTGTAGTGCTGTTGAAGGAGCCATTGCGAATGTTAAGGAGGTTCATGGAGATGCCAGTCTATTTAGAGAATGGTTGGAGTAATGAGCTGGAAATTATGAGTTGGAGTAATAATGGGAAATTAGGGCAGAGCCAACTCGGAGAGAATTTTGACTGCTTTACAAATTTATTTAACTCCTTTAAAGAAACAATTTTTCTACTAAGTATGTATTTTAAAATGAAAGACAGATGGCCCATAGCTGGTTAAGTTGTTGCCTGCAATGACAGCATCCCATAAGGAAGCCGGTTCAAGTCCTGACTGCTCCACTTCCCCTCCAGCTCCCTACTAATGCACCTGGGAAAGCAGCAGGGGCAGCCCATGTGCTTGGCCCCTGCACCTGGGTAGGGACCCTGAAAGGAGTCCTGGCGGCTGGCTTTGACCTCATCCAGCCCTGGCCTCGTGGCATTTGGGGAGTGAACCAGCTGGTGAAAGACCTGTCTCCATTTGTCCATCTTTTTCTTTCTAATTCTGCCTTTCACATAAGTAAAATAAATCCTAAAAAAATATATATTGGGCCCGGCGCGATGGCATAGTGGTTTAAGTCCTCGCCTTGAACATGTCGGGATCCCATATAGGCACTGGTTCTAATCCCATCAGTCTCACTTCCCATCCAACTTCCTGCTTATGGCCTGGGAAGGCAGTGGAGGATGGTTCATTCCTTGGGCCCCTGGATCCATGTGGGCGATCAGGAAGAAGCTCTTGGCTAGCGCAGCCATTTGTGGAATGAACCAAAGAGTAAAAGATCTGTTGCTTTGATCTCCTTCTTTCTGTAACTCAACCTTTCAAGTGAAAAATCTAAAATAAAACTTGAAAAACCAGGAAAATAATGTAAGCATAGAAAGTAAAATTTAAGAAATCTACATTATACCATTTAGCAAATATATATATATATATATGGTTAAATGGTGTAAGTTTTGTGATCCCATTTTTTGTCAAACACATTTTTCAAACTAATCTTGAAAAAGCTTTGTAGGAAAATATGTCTATTACTGATATACTAGGTCTTCGACTTTCTCGGTTTTGTGTTCCCTTGATATTTTATAATGAGCAAATACTACTGAAGAAGAGTATGTTTCAAAGAAAGAAATGTTCCAAGGACCAATGAATTTAATATTCTGAATATTGATGCATAAAATGCTGTATGTATAAAGATGTTATAATCTTACTTTCTCCCCAGAATGAAGCTAGAAAGAGATTTTACAGAGATGCTTTAATGCTGCGAGTGCCTTCAAGTTTCTATCAAGATGGAAATTATCTTGTGGGAGTCACTGACACTAAATATAGGAGGCCGTGGACAAGAAGTATGTTTTGTTTTCACTTCTCAAAAACGTATTTTAAAAATTATTCCAGAGTTTAGCATGGTCAACTATTAATAAAATGCAGTACTTCACTTGTTAAATAAAAATTCACTGCATTTATGTGAATCAGAATTACATGCTATCCTTATCGCAGAATTTGAGGATGAATTAGAAAACTTGTCCCAATTATGAATAAAACTAATAAAAAGTATAGATTATTAAATATCATAATATTGAAATATTAGAAGTATTTCCTGTGTTATTATGAGATTTTCTCAGTTTTGAGGACTACTTTAAATTGTACTGGTAAACTAAATGTAAAAATTTTAAAATTTATGCACTGATTCTGACTCTAGCAGATTTTTACATCACTGGTACCTCTGCTTAACAAACTATGAATATAATTTAAAAGACAAGCTACAGATACCTAAAATTTTAAATATCATACTACATATTAAAAGAAGCTTCCTAACAGCATTGTAGCCCTTCGAGGGGCATGTGTTAGAGGGAGCTAGAATGGCTAGTGAAGCCTCCTAACACCATGTTGAATGGGACTGTCTGGAATGGTAGTGCTACACAAGCAAAAGAAGCTGTAAAGTTGGGGCTAGAATGTTCTGGTGTTACTGCTTTGAATGTGTTTGAGTTCTGGAGTAGGGGTGTATCGTAATAATGTAATGATTGTTTATCAGGCATAATTTAGAAAAAAAATTAAGTTTGTAAACATTAAAGAGAACACCGTAAAGTTCACTTAGGCTAAATGTTTAAAAATATTCTAGAAACTAACGTTGGCTCTTCCTCTTTCCCTAGTCTCAACCGTTTCGGTTTGGGGAGAGACAGACACAGTGTGGGATGAATGGAAAGCAGTGTTCCCTGTGGAGGATTCCATCGAGATGTATGTGTGCTTAATCTCAGATTTTCCTTTTAGAAGATTAACTGTCAGTTCTTCAGACACTTAAGAAGAGGGGGAAAAAACCCTTCCTTTATCTCCTCAGATTTTCTTCAGTTATCTAAAGGAAAAGCTGTAATTTGTTCCACACAAGAAAGGTTAATACAAGTGGTTTGCATCCTCTTTTTATCTTTTCCCTCATTTGACATAGGGTGCACATTTGTGTTGAAAAAGAGACAGGATTGGGCCCAGCGTTGTGGCGCAGTGGTTTGGGTCCTCGCCTTGCACGCCCGGGATCCCATATGGGCGCCGGTTCTATCCTGGCAGCCCCGCTTCCCTTCCAGCTCCCTGCTTGTGGCCCGGGAAAGCAGTCAAGGACAGCCCAAAGCTTTGGGAACCTGCACCCGCTGGGAGACCCGGAAGAGGCTCCTGGCTTTGGATCGGCATAGCATCGATGGTTGCGCTCACTTGTGGAGTGAATCATTGGAAGGAAGATCTTCCTCTCTGTGTCTCCTCTCTGTATATCCGCCTTTCCAATAAAATAATAATAATAATAAATCTTAAAAAAAAGAGAGAGACAGGATTGAAGCAGTCATTAGGCTTTTCAATAAGTAAACTTACTGTAGAAAGTGCCGATAGGAAATCCTTTGTGTTAACATTAGTCATTTTCTCTGTAGAATAAGTGCAAAGTTAAAGCTATATTTTCTCTAACAGTTTGTCAGAATGTTATTAGTTCAGTTATTCCTCACAGGTTTGTTGGGTACCATCCCATGTGTTGGGTACATGGTGTGAAAACGAGTGAGACACGATCTCTAGCTCAGTCTGCAGAATATTCTTAAAGGGAAAGGATGTATTTTCGTCCTGCACTCTTTTCCTTCTAATAATGAAATACGAATGTGGTGACTGTCTCCAGCACCACCTCAGGCTGTGCTGATAAGAACCAAATCTAGGAGTGGTGGACTGAAGCAGAAGGAGCCCCAGGTTCTGACAAGCTGTGAAACTTGCCTTTTGGGACGTGAACCTCCAACCTCCAGAATGTTGTGTGTGCATGTATTTTTAAAATTTTTTAAAATTTTCTTTTAAAATATTGTTTACATAGTTGAGAGGGATGCATGCCCATGTGGGCCTCTGACTAGGCTGGGAAGAGTCAGATACCATGGAAGGTGGATGGGACAAAATATTTTTCCCTCTGCAGGGGAGGAAAGAGAAGGAGCACTCCTTGCTGTCAAACTGTGTCAGCACCTGGAGATAGGGGTGGTCATCTGATGATCCTTGGAGATGCTGATCTGGGGGAGCTTGTTCTGAGCGTGTCACGTGGGTGTTTCTGATAGTTGTGAGCAGTTGCTGACTTTGTTGCTCCATGGTTGAGTCTTTCCAAAGTCTGTTGGCTGACCACCTTAGTGTATCCACACACAGGAACATGCTAAAAAAACTTGGCCAAGAGAATTTTCTAACCTGTTTTGCTTTCCATCCTCTGATGAGGCAGTTGACATCCCCCGCTGTCCTAGAAGAGCTGGCCATCATGTTCCCCATGTGCATCTGGTCATACTGTCCACCTCACAACCAGCAGCATTTGAGGAGCTGCAGTTTTGATACATGTGCTCCAAGGTCATGCCACACATCTTGTGTGGCTAGGGTCTAGTTGAGGAGTGGTCTAGTTGAGGAGTCCCCCAAGAAACCTCTCCTGGGGTGACATCACTCAGACTTGACTCCTGTGTGTGTCAGCTAGTGCAGTCAGGTGTGATCTGTTACCTGCACCAGCCAATACACATACCAGTGACTGTAGCTGCCTAGTTCAGTTCCGCCCCAGTTCCATGGAACCTGTGAGTGCTGTAGCCCAATTCAGCCAGCCCGCCATAGACCTGGTGTTCACACATTCTAGTGGATGCTGTGACCTAACAGGCCTCACCAGGCCTGCCCCCAGCCCTAGTTTTTGCATGTACCAGCCTCTGCTGCAATCTGGCAGTCTGGCTTGATTCAACCCTAATCCCATCTGATTCTCATGTGGCTACTGCAGCTAAGCTCAGGCCAATTCCCACCTCCCCAAGACCTGACTCTCACATGCGCCACCAGGTGCTACTACCTTGTCCAGCCTGTTGCACCCCCTGCCCTGGTTCTTGTGCTCACAAGTGATAGGTAGAGCCTAGCAGGGGAGTGCCCACAGTTCCCCTGCCAGGTTTGTTTCTAGCCCTGGATTTTACAACTGCAAGGTGTACTGTGGTTAAGCCTTTCATGACTCACACCCAGTCCTAATGCTGGTGCTGTGACCCAGCCCAGCTGGCACATACCCATTTTGGCTCTCATGTGTGCCAGCAAGTTCAACAGCCTAGCCCAACCTGGCCTGCCCCCAGATGGGCCACCCAGAGTCCTACCTCTCATTCTTACCAGTAGAAGGAGCAGCCCAGCAAGGGATTCCTGAAAGTTCCCCTACCAGGCCTGCTCCCAGCCCTGCTCCCAGCCCTGGGTCTTGCATCTCCCAGCAGGTGCTATGGCCCAGTCTGAGATGGCCTGCCTCCAGTCTTTGCATTTGCTAGCAAGTGCTACACCCTGACTTAGTCCAACCCACCTCTGTGTCAGCTCTTATTAGTGAGTGCAGCAGCCTAGCACAGCCAGGCCTACCCCTGCCCTGATGTGAACTGGTGGATGTTGCTATCCAACCTGGTCTAGCCTTGACCTGTCCTAGCTTTTAATTGTATCAGTGCGTGCTGTGGAGTGAGCCTTCCTGGCCTGCCCCCAGACCCAGCTCACATATGGGCCAATGGATGCTGCAACCCAGCCTGGTCTGGCCTGCCCCCAGCCCTTACACTCACCAGTAGGAGGTATGGCCTAGTGTACTAGTTCCCCAAGTTACCCTACCAAGCCCACTCCCAGCAATAAATTGCATTTGTGCATATATAGCTACCTAGATTGACATGGCTAGTCCCCTTTCCTGGCACTCCCTGGTGAGTACTGTGGCCTAGCATGATTGACCATTACTCATTCCAGCGTAGCCGAGCCAGGCGTGGCCCACACCCTGTCCTGGCTCTCCTGTATGCCATTAGGTGCTGAGGTTTGGCCCAGCCTGGCCTATCCCCAGACTCATCCAACACAAATGCTGATGAGTGTTGCAGACTTGCCCGGCCTGGCTTGCCCCCAGTCTTAGCTCTTTTGCTCTGTAGTGGGAGCTGTGACCTGACAGGAGAGTTCCCCAGATTATCTTACCAGGCTTGCTCCCAGCCCCAGCTCCCTTGCGTGTCAAGATGATTCCTGTCAGGTGAGTTCTATGGCCCAGCCTAGCTTGGACCATCATTGCCCCCAGCTGTCTGTGTAAACTGCAGGTGCTGCAGTCCCACAGAGGCAAGCCCACAAGTCCCCAGCAGAATCTTCCCCATGATTTCATTCTCTCACATTCTCATTCTGGGTGTTGTGTCCCAGCTTGATGTGGCCCCATCCCCTGCTCCAATACTCATGGGCAGGTCTTGTGTCCTAGCCCAGCCAGCATGCCCCCAAACCCTGGATTTTGCATGTGCCACTGGGCCATGGGCAATGCTATTTTGCCCAGTCCAAGTCTTCCATATGGGCAGGTGCCTTAACCAGAGCTAGACATGGCCTCCAGTTTTCCCTCTCTAATTCACTCCATTTCAGCTCCCTCGCCTACCTCTTAGTGCAGTGGCCAAGTCTGTAGAAGACCCCCAGAAGTCTTTCTTTCCCTGTCAGATATGCCCTCCCCTTAGTTGCTCCACTCTAATACATCCCCAGATTCCCCATCTCTGGGAAATCTACAGTCATCCCCCTTCCCCCACTCACTGCTTGGAGGCTAGGGTGGTGTGTTCTAGTTCCCCATCTTCCCCATATAGTTAAGAAAGAAAGGGGGAGGGGGAGAAGGGAAGAGGTTGGTTGGGGAGGGGAGGGGTGGAGAGAAGGAAAAAAAGGAAGAGAAAGAAATCTGTTTTAAGAAATGTCAAAATAAGAAAAAAGAAAGATGAGAAAGAGAAATAGAGGAAGATTTAGGAAATCTATGTGAAACTATAGCCAGAGGTTTATTCTGAAGTTCCACTGAAAAACTTTAATAGCTCCCAAATTAATTAAAATAAATTTTTACTGTTTGAAGACAAATAGACATTAATAATGACTTAAATGCACGCGCACACACTCACACCTCAGGTGTAGGCAACTGCCTAGGTTGCCTTGTACCCAGGAGAGTGTAACCTTGGTGGGAGAAAAACAGCCAGTAGCTGCTGAGCGTTTTGGGCCTGGTTAATGCCAAGTTTGTATTAACATACCAGTATGGTAGCATGGTTGTTTATTCTTTCCCTCCCTCCCTCCCTTTCCCCTCTCTTTTTCTTTCTTTCTTTCTTCCCTTCTTTCTTTTCTTCCATTTAATTTTAAAAACACCACACTAGTTTAAAATACATGTTACATTACAGTGAGTAAATACACATTAAAATAAATATGAGACTTTAAAAAAAGGTGAAGAAAGCCTAATGGACAGACTAAATAGGCATTGAAGCTATTGAATTATGAAAAAGAAAAATGTGAAAATATTAGGTAAAACTATGGAATAAACTTCATAGTTTTCAAGTCAAAGCATGTGGCCAAATTGAGCAAGAAAAGCAACATGATTTTACTTTTTATTTCTTTGTAGCTTATTGCATTCAATAATATGCAGGATGTTGCACGTGTATTTATTTTTTGTACTCATCTTAATAGTTATGTGATATAAGTATTACTATCACAGTGTTGTAGAAAGAAGTTAGGAATCAAAGATATGAGTGATTTGCCCAAGCTTATGTAGTGAGGAAATAACTGGAGTTAAGATTAAGCCCTAGTCTATGTGACTTCAAAACTTTTGTTCTTTTGTTGTGGTTGTGTGTTTTGAATAGAATACTATTGTTGAGCTATATCCCATGTAATTCTATATACATTCTATTTAAAGTGTTCAACTTAGTGGTTCTTAATACATTCATGGAGTTGTTCAGTTATTATCCCAATCAGTACTGGAACATTTTCATCAAAAAAGAAGGAAATCCTTTACCTGTTATCAGTCAGTCTCTGTTTCGCATTTCTCTTCTTATATAAAAAGTCATGTACTACATGACTTTTTGTGGTTTGCCTCAATCGGTTGCCTGACAATTAAGAAATGAATATGGGGAAGGTTAAGGAAGTCAAAATCCCCAGCACTAGTGACAGCAGATGTTCTTACTATCCAAGCCTGTAGAAGCAAGGGAACTGAGTGAAGTCCAGCAGGAGCTGCAGGTAACGGAGAAATCCATCTGCCAAGACAGATAACCATTGGTGGAAGGGTGCAGCCACTTACCTGTGGCTTGGACCAGAAGGATTTGGATGGAATAGTTTTCTGATTCATCTCTCTTTCCTACCAGTGCATCTCATTAGCTAAGCCCAACTAGACGCCATAGGCATGGAATCTTAGTTGATTCACAGAGGTCAGCCTCTAAGGATGCAGATCAAAATACAAAAAGTTAGATGATGAAACCAAAGAACATTGACTATGTGTTATAGAGGCAGTTTTGCAATGCATGGCAAAACCTGAGAATCCGTATAATTTTAAACTCATTGTTTCTGCTTTTAGGAGATTTTTTTTAAAAGAAAATGTCTAGAAAGGTATAAAAATTTTTCTTTGCATTAGTGCTAATAATAGCAAAAATAAAATTTAAATTTCCAGTATTGGGGAACTGGTTGAATAAATTATGATTTGCTGATGCAAATTCAAAGATGAACTGAATGTAATTGAGTGGCTTGTAAGTAGTCCCATGCTGTATTCTTTAGTGCAAAAGAACAGGCTGCAGAATACTGAGTCCATTTAATTTTAACATGTTCAAAATGACAAACACTTGTATAATTTCTGCATTCATCTCAATTGAAATGTAATTTTTCTGTGTCTTTGTAAATTTGATATTGTTATAGACACAAACTATTTATTAGTAAAAATATTCTAGAATAGGACATTTGTAAAATCAATAATTTGATAATGTCATAGAAAAACACCTACAAGAATGACGACTCAAGTTAATTGTGAATCTGAAGAAATTGTTCCAAGTTCAAATCCAAACTCACAGCCTGAGGAAGAAGAAAACATGTTTTGCGCCCACAAGGACTGCTTTGAGGTCTTCACACCTGTCAAGTATTCAGAATGTTTGTCACCTCAGTCCAAGATTGAAGGTATTCTAGTTAGCATTTAATTCTTATAATTTAGTACTAACACCAAGATTTTTATTTCAAAGGTTTATGCCTAATTGATTTTTATTTTTTTGTTTTATTAATGACATCTGCCTACATAATCATAGTTTTAAGCTTTACTACCTGAATAAAACATTTTCTCTTTCATATTAATCTTTTATCAATTGGATTAGTTTTGGACTTTATTGAACTGCAAAATAATCTGCGAAATTTAATATTTTTATTATAGTTGCTACTTTTGTGTTTCAAATATTGCTAGCCATGATGAATTTTTCCATTGATTTTCGGACTAGATTTTAAATGTTAGGAGCCATTAATTAAATTTTTATAGGTTTAGCATTCCGTTTGGTAATGATATCACATAACAGAAAATAACAGAACCAAAAAAAAAACCAAGCAAAAATCTTATGTTCCATGGGTTTATAATCAAAGGCTATAGACAGTTTTCAAATCCCAGCAAATCCTTGCACCTCCAGGTCACATTTTTTCCTGTACTCTGCTTCAGTTATCACACATTAGGGCAAACGTTTGTGTCTTTGGAGACTGGCAGAAAAGCATTAATTTTACCATCCTTGTCAGACACCTTAGTAACTTCCTTTGCTTGTTTTCATTTCATTACCTTGGGTTTTCTAAGGCAGACAAAATTCTCTTCTATAAAGAATAAACTTATTTTTCTTTTTTTCCTCCCAATAGGCCTCCTTTTTTCTGGTTTTTTTTTTTTTTTTTTGCATAGTTTACCAGTGAGAATTTTGTTTTCTGGTGACAGTTTAACACTGCCGTATAATAACAGAAAAAAAGTTTCCTTAAATCAGTGTAGATCATGTGGTAGTTGTAATAAAGCAGAAACTCTCCTGAATGCTGAAAGAGTTAAGTAGCTCCCTTGGTAAAACCTGTCTAGGATTACTAAGGGCATTTGCTGTGGTGAGATGCTGCCCTCAAGTGGCTGCATCAAACAGGAGCTGGAAATCGAGGCTCTTAACTGACACAGTGTGTCTGTGTATTTCCAGAAAGAATGATGTTCATCTGTGCGAATACATGTATGTATTTGAACTGTAAAAAAGGAGACTAGCATATCTGGAAGGAAAGGTACTTTACAGTATGTGTCTCTAGTCCTGAATAAAAATAGGACTCCTAAGGAGACATTTAAATATACATTTAAGTATAACAGAATGCCAGATTTTTCTGCCTTTGCCTATTCCATATCAGAATACATTTGAATAGCAGAAAATTAAATTTGCAACTATTGCTAAGGGAGTATATTACTATGATAATATAGGGGAAAATGCCAGGAGAGTGAAATGGGAAAGGGAGGAAGAGGAAGGGGTGCAGTGAACCCCTGTACCTACAAAACTGCATAACAGAAAATAATAATAATAATGAAAGAGTGATGGTCTATGTAAAGAAGACAGCTGGAGAGTATCTGGAAGTGGTTGGTGGAGCTGGAGATATAAATAAATGATGTTTGGGTATTTATTAAAAATCACCTCATTAATATTTACAGATTATACTGGTCATCTTTAACTTTCTCAGATATACCCTCAGACATGGAATTGATGCAGTAGCTTTCTCTGGTGTGTTCTGGCCATGACATCATCAGAAACTTAACAGATTCATGTAAACAGTCTCTTGGGCGGAGGGACTAGTTTATATCAGAAGTTCTCTCTTGGCATATCTAGTTAACCTTCAGCAGGCAAAGGAATACCAGCTGGCTGACTATCTTGGACCACACATTTGTTACGCCCATGCATACTTTGGCCATAGGAGACATTGTCAACTGAAAACCAGCAAGAATTTCTCTGTCATGCCACCCTGCCATCATTGAACAGGAAGGCCACTATACAGAGCAAGAGAACATTGCTTCTTCCCTCAAGGTTGCTCTACCTCCGGGGAGCTCTGCTTTCTGAGTAGTACTTTGACTAATCTTGCTTTCTCTCTGTACTCAGAAGCTTATTAAAGAGTGTGGGAAGGTGTTATGTTCCTTCCTGTGGCTCAGAAACTATGAAAGCCAGCACCCAAAGGTCACCCAAAGATGGCAGGGTGGGCATAACAGGGATGAATTTATTCCAGCAATTTACTGTAAGCAGTAGGGTTTCCTAATACGTAAGATATGCCACACTTCTCAGATACTTTGCTATATAACTTTTGTTGTAACTGATCTATTAGTGTCCATGCATGAACAACTTTGAAATAACAGACTCAGGATTGTTCTTATTGGTAGGCTGCATAAACTGTCTTCGTTTCCTAAGATGTCAGGGTCTCGTGTAGATGAACTGCAGACCTTAAGAGGTAAAAGGATGTAAAGGGAAAACAAAGGTGACATCGTGGTGCAGTGGGTTAAGTAACTGCTTGTGTAATAGTATCCCGTATTGATTAAGCTAGGCCAACCTAATGCCTGCTGTCGGAGGCATTGGGCAGTTAACCAGCAGATTGAATATCTCTTGGTTACTCCTCAGTGTAACACATAATAATAGAATTTATAGAGTTCTTCCTATGTTTCTGTACTATCCCATATGCTTTATGTGCACAGTGCAATGGAGAACTAAGGAATTAAAAAAATGTGTTTGGAAAACCCAATTGTATCTAAGAGCTGATTATAGTAAATAGCAGATCACTTTGTATAATGTTGAATTTTTTTGCTTTTTTATTTATGTTTCTTATTTATTTTCAGATTTATTTATTGATGAAGAATTCGTTTTTGTAGATAGTTTGAAGAACTATAGAAATCAACTGCCAACTGTGAAAACTCTCTTGAGTAGACTAAAGCTGTATGTCATAAAGGATCCCCTTGACGATTTCAAACAGGTCTTCAAAGACAATAATTGGTCAGTGCCATAAATGTTTTATCAATAATATTTTCCTAATATTAGTGTAGTCTTCGTCATGATGTGCTTTAACTGGCAATATTTGGTACATAATTTACTTCTTATAATTACAAGTATTTAATGCTGTTTTTCTTTTAAGGGAATCTTTATCAGTTGAAGCAAATATGGAAGTTTTTACAAAAGAAGATTTTTCTGGGCCTGCAGAGACCTTTTGTAAAGTGGAACTAGAAGATGAAGATTTAGATGAGGTTGTAATATTTGTTTTTAGTAACGTTTTCTTATAAGATTTATTTTTATTTAAGTGGCAGAGTTACAGAAAGAGCAAGAGACGGAAAGACAATCTTCCTTTCCCTGGTTCGCTCCTCAAATGGCTGCAATAGGCTGGAGCCGGGCCGATGCTGAGCCAAGGTGTCCCGTGTGACAGCAAGGGCCCAAGAACTTGAGCCAGGTCATAAACAGAGAGCTGGATAGGAAGTGAAGCAGCTGGAATATGAACTGGCACCTCTATGGGATGCCACCACTGTAGGCAGAGCCTTAGCCTCCTGTGTCATGGCGCCAACCCCTATATTTGATATTATTTTTGTGAAAGCAATGAGGCACACTTCTATAAACTTTATTAAAATTCACTATTTGTAATGAACTGGATAAAGACATTTGATAATAGATTGAATATATATCAACTAAGAAATCAAATTTACTTCTCAATAGTGGTTGTTTGGTTCTTAGCCTTGGTTGTACAGTAGGACTGCCTAAGGAATTTTTATATTACATATATAGAGAGAGATAGATATATTAATTGATGTGATAAACTGCCAAAGTATAAAGAATACTAAAACCTCTCCCAGTAATTGTAATGATATGTGGTCCAAGAAAGTAAGTATTTATGTCTACCTTGAAATTAGAGGCTGGTGCTTGGAAGGTTGATACGTGGTTTATACACGAAGTGATTAGCACTTGAACTATAGATGTTACACTCTTCATATTGAGACACTAAGAATCTGGGAAACTCAGAACTGAATATTAGGTACTGTCAGTGTCTAGCAGGCAGATAACATCCTTGCCAATTAAAGCTAAAATTATTGGATAGCTCTCCTTTTGTATCATACAATTCCAACAGTATGTAAAGTTGTTTTTGTGCTACAAGTAAACAACAAATTATCACAAGTGAAGTGCAGATAACTTTATGCAGTTTATTAGACTCAGTACTTCAGGACTGGGTAGATTAGATACATTCACGGTGCTGGTGATGGGGAGAACAATGGGAAACATCTTACATTTGGGGTTTTTCTTAATATGTCCAAAGCTTGTGTATCAGGTGAACTTAAAAAATTAAAATTAAATTAAGTTAAAAACTTCACATGATAGTAAAAATACTAACTCTGATTGGCCTCTTATCTCCATCTCTGTTATGTTCCCCATCAACACTGAGACAATGTGCGTGTCATCTCACATGGTAAGGGATCCCAGTTCTGCAGGAATGAAAGGAAAGCTTTCTTTGAGAACAGTTACGATTTACTCCATGGCATCATCTCTACTTATCTCCCCAGTTTTTAAGATCAAGATAACAGAATATGCATTCAGTACAACTCCAAGAAGATACACACATTGCCCACTCCGCTGCCCCCAACCCATTTGCCATCCTCTTTCTATCAGGTTTCCCAGACATGATTTTCATGCATTGTATATTTATATTCTCTCATTTGATGAAATGGTAGATTTTAATTTAGAATTTTAAAAGTTTGCTGCTAGCCAGAAAGAAGATATTTCTGCCTCTGCATGTGTTGTGTATCGCTCACATAACAAGTGACCATAAAATGCATTTTTCAAGGACAGTATTCCTTCTAATGGAGTATATTTTTGGCTGCTACATTTCTACTTTTTAAAATATATTTTTAGCCTTAAAAATCTTTTTTGAGTATGAGATTAATTTAAAATTTGGTATACTGTGTAAACAACTATATCCATTTTTTAATTTAACATGTATATTTGGAAAAAATTTTAAGAATTATTTTAACTGCATGTTATTTCAGTCATTGCTTTTTCTTCCTGCCATTGAATCTGTAATATCTGCATGTGATGAACAAGAAGTTGGTATTTCATCACTGCCAGACCTGAAGGAGTCATTAGACATAATGCCAGAAAAAATACAGCATGTAGATGAAAATGAACAGTTCCAAGGAGGTGAGAGTTAATTTTAAAATGCATTTCTTAGAAAAATCACCTGATGTTTGTTCCACCAGTCTTTTTCATTAAGATAATTTTCTTTCTTTCTTCCTCTTTCCCTATCTCCTTCCTGCCCCCTTCCCTCCCTTTCTCCCTTCCATGCTGTTTTCCATAGTGGTTGTACCAATTTATAAGGACTGACAGTAATCCCTTCCCCCTTTTTGGATCATTCATTGTTAATGTATACATACCCAACTGACTTTTTGAAAAGATTTGTTTGCTTTTATTTGAAAAGCAGAGTGACAGAGAGACAGATAACATCCATTTACTAAATCTAAATGCAAAATATCCATCTGCAACTGCTGGATCTGGGCTGATTTGAAACCGGGAATGAGGCACTTCATATTCTCCTGTGTAGATGCAGGGGCCCAAGTACTTAGGTCATCCTGCTGCTTTCCCAGCTGCACTGGCAAGAAATAGAATCAGAAAAGGAGTAGCCAGAACTCAAACTGGTACCCATACAGGATGCTGATGCAACAGGTGGAGGCTTAGCTTGCCACTCTGTGGTGCCAAGCACAGCAACTGATTTTTGTATATTGATTATGTGTCTTACATCTTTCCTGAATTCCTTTATTCTAACAGACTTTTGGTAGGGTCTTTAGGATGTATATTGCATAGATACTGAGTGGAAATATGTTTTTTGAGTGTTATAATCACAGAAGAGTATTGAATTTTGCCAAGTACTTTCTCTATATCAAGATAATCACATGGTTCTTGTCCCTCATTATGTTAACGCAGTATATCACATTTATGGATTTATGTGTATTGAACCATGGACAGCAATTTTACATGAACAGTTACAGGAGCCATTAGCACTTCCTCCCATGGTCTGCTTCAGCAGGATTGCTGGAGTCACAAGCTTGAGCTAGGAATCAAACCCAGGCACCCCAATGTGGGAAGTGGGTGTTGCTGACTACTAAATAAATACCTACTCCAGCTTTTCTTTAAGTATTGATTTATTTAATATTCTAATAAGAGAGATAGACACATCTGCTTGTTCACTTGCCAGATGATTGCAAAAAACAGGGCTGGGGCAGACCAAAGCCAGAAGCAAGGAGGTTCTTCCGGGTCTGCCACATGGGTGGTAAGGGCCCAAGCACTTGGCCATCTTGTCAGGGAGCAGGATCAGAAGTGGAACGGCCAGGACATGAACCAGCATCCAGATGGCGTGGAGGTGACAGAGGTGGCAGCTTTACCCACTATACCACCAAGCAAGCCCCTGCGCCTAGCTTTAAATCCCTCATGTGCTAATTTCAAAAACTGAATCATTAGGTGCTTGATATTCATTGATGTGTTTTTGTTGTTGAGTTTGTCATTTTTCTCTATTTTTAGCATACTGAACATATATGGAGTATTCTGAGATTATACATGATTGATTACAGAAACTATTCTGATATATTCTTGTGAAAATAATTGAGTTTTTTGTTTTGTTTTGTGTTGTTTGGGCTTTGTTTTGTTTAGTAGGATGTTAACTATGCTGAATTCAAATTGTAAGGTTTTTTTTCTCCCCTTTGGTGGGAAGGAAACAAAATCTGTGTTCAGAATTTTAAACCTAGCTCATATGCTGGAATCTGCCTGAAACAGGTATATTTGAAAAAACAGCCAGAGACTTAGAATTTCGATGTGGAGTTTGGAGTTCCTTCTCTGTTATTTTACCGTCACATGGATTTCTCACCTTCATTTTCTAGCTGCTGTGTTAACCCTGAACTCAGTTCAGATACAACTGTCCTCTCATTCTATGAGCTAAGAAGGTTGTAGGGGTTTTTGTTTTGTTTCGTTTTGTGTTCTAGTGATGCTAAGCAGCATCAATTTATTTTTCCCTTAAGATGGAAAAGTGTAAAAAAAATTGGGAAAATCCTTTAATGACAGACAATTCCTTTTCAGTTTCTACCTGTTTTAGATTGGGTGCCTGAGATGGTCATTTTATTCAGAGTTTTAGATCTTCTAGAGAAAGATTAGTCCACTAGAAGCTGTGGTCAGTAGCAAAACTGCCTTCATTCTATTTTATGTATTAATTTTCATCTTAATTTTAAACTCCTAGGATTCTATAAATTATTCTGATTAACAAGTACATTTTTCCCTACCTTTCTTCTTACCTCATCATTATTCCATTAGCATTTAGAAAACAGAGCTAATATGTGTGTTTTCTGCTGTCTTGATAGAAGCCAGAAATATAATTTTGAAAGAAATTAATTGTAATCATCTGCTTTGAAATATAGATTAATCTACTGAAACTGGGATCTTAGGGGAGAAAAGTTTTAGTTGGAGTATGTGCTACATTTGACTAGATGAACTGGAATGCTGCCTTTATTGAAAGAAAAAAATTAAAATTGAAATGTATATGCAAAAGGATCTATTCTTAACTTTTTAAAGATTTATTTATTTTTATTGCAAAGTCAGATGCACAGAGAGAAGAGACAGAGAGGAAGATCCTTCATCCGATGATTCACTCCCCAGGTGGTCACAATGGCCAGTGCTGAGCCGATCCAAAGCCAGGAGCCAGGAACTTCCTCCAGGTCTCCCATGCAGGTGCAGGGTCCCAAGGCTTCAGGCCATCCTTGACTGGTTTCCCAGGCTGCAAGCAGGGAGCTAGATGGGAAATGAGGCTGCCGGAATTAGAACTGGTGCCCATATGGGATCCTGGCACGTTCAAGGCAAGGACCTTAGCCGCTAGACCACCACCCCAGGCCCCTTAAATTAAATTTTAAAAAGCAAATGTAGGGCCTGGCGCAGTGGCGCAGTGGTTAAGGTCCTCACCTTGCACACCCGGGATCCCATATTGGCGCCGGTTCTAATCCCAGCAGCCCCGCTTCCCTTCCAGCTCCCCTGCACCCGCCCGGGAGACCCAGAAGAGGCTCCTGGCTTCGGATTGGCTCAGCTCCAGCCGTTGCAGCCATTTGGGGAGTGAATCATCGGATGGAAGATCTTCCTCTCTGTCTCTCCTCTCTGTATATCCGCCTTTCCAATAAAAATAAAATAAATCTTAAAAAAAAAAAAGCAAATGTAGTTACCATATTTCTGTGATTCTAAGATCCTACCAACTGCAAAGCATATTATCAACCTAATAAAACTATTTACATAAAAAAGAAACTTTCTAAATGCACATGCTGATGGTTAGATGCATAGTAGTTTCATAACCAGCAGAACATGAACAATTGTGTCTTAAAGTCAAGGAACTATCATGTTTACTGTTCACGAGGGGTGTACCTTAACAAGAAAACCAAAAAGTGAAAAAGAGACAGAAAAATGTGTGATAGCTAAAAAAAAATAGGCAAAACAAAAAATCAGCAACCGAAGTGGCAGTATTTATACAGACAAATAGAATTCCAGCTGAATGGAACATAGAAGTAGTCATATATTGAATGAATAAATCTCTCAAAGTGATCTTATTCATGAAATTTATGACTTACAACCTAGCTTCTAATGACTCTGTAACTTTTTCCATTTTAATTTCCTTTGGTAATTTTGATTGACAGATGAGAGATAATGCAACTGTGCATAGAATAAACATTTATTTGAAAGTCTGCATTCTCTTCATGAACCTAAATCTGCACTTCTGTCTAAAAGGAACATTTTCCTCCAGCAAAGCTCTGAAGATACTTCAGAAGGAAAAAGCCATGGAGCAAGGTTATAAAAATGCTAACTTAATGGTATTTTTGTTGTTAATGGATTTTCTTATATTTTTAGACATTATTTTCAACCATGGAATTGAAATTGAGGATAAGAAGTACAGTTTCACAAAGATTTGGACCACTCAAAATGAGAATGAGCCAGAGTATGATGAACCAGGTAGAAATTTTGAATCAGTCACTGAGTTTATCAAGAGTTACCTATAAACAATATGCAAATATAACATATTCTATGAGTTTTCATGTTTAAAATTTGATTACTGTAAACCTAATTGTCAAAATTTTGTCCATTTATCTTTGTCACTATGGTTAATTCAGAATCCTACCAGTACCAAGGTTGAATTAATACAGAGTTACAAAGCCCTGGGGAAAAGAAATGAAGAAAACAATCGTAGTATTCAAAATAGAGATCTTAAAATATTACACTTCAAATAGAATTTTCTGTTTTATCTCAGTATTAGCAGTTGTATTAGTCAAATATTCACTTCTTAAGTGAGAAGTGAGCTTCTTGGGAAGAGCTTCTTGGGAAGAAAAAGGTTTGGAGGTTCGTCAAAATCAAGAGGTCTCATTTCGTGGAGGCTGGCAGTTGTGGAGCTCATATGATAAGCCAGAAGTCATAGAGAAGGTAGAGCTTAGTTTAAATAATCAGCCCTTGGCCAAGAACTGCTTTCCATGGACAAGCCTCTAGTGACCTAAAAACCTCCTGCCTGCCTTAGTTAGATTAGATTAAGTTGCATCTTTTTCAATCAACAGCACTAATCCATTAACTGTTAATAGTAACTCTTTGGGATTCAGACATCTGTGTTAATTTGGAGAGCCATATCCTGTTTAATTCATTACAGAAGTTTTGTTGAACTTTGTTAAACAAAGTTTAAAGGCAGAGTTACAAAGAGGAAGAGGGATCTTTCTGTTTCAGTCATTGCCAAACTAACCACAACGTCAGGGGCTGGGCTGGGTTGATGGCAAGAGTCAGGGGCTTCGTCCTGGTCTCCCATGTGGTTGGTGGGAACCCAAGCATTTGGGCCATGTGCTGCTGCTCTTCTTAGAGCAGCAACAGGGAGCTGGATCAGGAGTGAATCAACCAGGACATGAACTGGCATCCATATGGGATGTGGGCATCGCAGACAGCAACTTTATCCATTATATCACAATGCTGGTCCTCAAATTTATTTTTATTAAAGTAGTTTTGTAGTTGTGAGAGAGTGAAATAACATAATGCTTACAAAAGATTCTAAATTATACTTAATTTTATTTAATATTTATTTCAGGAGAGTTAGAACTTCCTCTAAGTCAGCCACACCTTTCAAATCAACATTCTTCAGTGAATTCATTATGTGCAGGCCTTCAGACAGTTCCGTCATCTCCTGCTTATGAAATGTATGTGAAGATTATATCTAGAATCAAACTTTTAATTAGAACAAGCTGTCTTTAAAATTTTTCACATAAAAGCAGTTGTCAAGATATCTTATGGAAAATATAACATAGTATCATATCTATGTGGTAAATGACTGGAAAGACTATATGAATATGTATGTGTATATTTGATTTTATGCATAGGCTGTCTTCAGAAAGGAGCACAAAAATCAGGTAACACTGACTATCTAAAAGGAAACTGGGTAGCAATTTAATATAGGTGGATTTTTTTACAGCATGACATTTTATATATTTAGAATTTTTAATGTGAATGTATCACCATTAGAAACAAATACCTTACAAATGTTAAGATCCTTCCATTAACATTAATGAATACTTGCCAATGGCACTACCTCTGTTGGCAGGCACTATGTATAAATGATGCATACGTTTTCTAGGGCTGCTATAACCAATGCCATAAATGAAGTGGCATAAGGAACAGAAATTTATTTCCCCGCATTATAAAAGCTAGAAATCAAGAATAAATGTCAACAGGGCTGGTTCTTTCAAACGGCCTCATTTTTTGGCTTACAGATAACCATTTCTCCCCATGTCTTCATATGTTCTTTTCTCCATCCTTGTATTTCCTAATCTCTTATTAGAACACCACCATGTTGGCTTAGGGTACAATTTAATGGCCATATTTAACTTAACTATCATTTTAAAAACCCTGTCTCCAAGTATTGATTCTGAAATACTAGAGGTTAAGGCTTCAACATATGAATTTGAAGGCGGTTGTATGTATCGCAGAATGTAATGAGATTTTAAAACTCTGGACTAGGACCAAATTGCCCCACTAGCTGAGAGTATTTTATTTGCTCTGTGTTTCAGTTTCTTTATCTGTAATACTGGGATCATAATAGCATCCACCTCATAGGGTGGCCATGAGTTTTTCTACAACATATGTCGTAGATCCCTGCCTAGGAATAGTCACGGATCATAGAATATAATGGACAGTGGTTGATGGATAGATTTGACTATCAACCTACTCCCCATAGGAGTATCAAGTGTCATATTCCATCTCTAATGGAGGACATCCTCTGACTTCATTCACCTCTGTCAATATGGTCTAAGTGTTACAATCATGCAAGTAGAACTGGGGCTTGATCCTCAAGCTGGCTTAGTACCCTACTGTTACTGCCGAGAATGGCCTGTAACCTTAGAATTCATATTGTTGGACCAAGTCTTTACAGTCTAATTTTAACCCAAGTATCTTAGTTTGACAGCCCTGCAACCTTGCCTTTTGCATGGTGTGATATCGCTTTGTTGCTTTCTTTGCTCAAGTGCCCTCTATATGTCTTGAACTCTGGTATTGTGAAGACTCCAGCTTTATTTTGGTTATTTATGATTGCTTTAGTTATTTGGTCTCTCGTGTATCCACATGAATTTTTTCAAAGATTTGTTTATTTTTTATTGGAAAGTCAGTTTTATAGAGAGGAGAGACAAAAAGATTTTCCGTCTGCTGATTCATTCCCTAAGTGCCCGCAACAGCCAGAGCCAACCTGACCTACAGCCAGGAGCCAGGAGCTTCTTCCAGGTCTCCCACGTGGGTGCAGGGGCCCAAGGCTTTGGGCCATCCCTGACTGCTTTCCAGGCCACAAGCAGGGAGGGAGCTGGATGGGAAGTGGAGCAGCCAGGACATGAACTGGCATGCATATGGGATCCCAGCATGTGCAAGATGAGGACTTAGTCACTAGGCTACTGTGCTGGGCCCTACCCACATAAATATTAGCATCATTTTGTCTGGATCCTAAAAGAATGTGATAGGCATTTTGATTGGTATCACATTGAATGTGCAAATAGCTCTCAGTAGTATGGACATTTTGATATGTACTCACCTATCCATGAATGTGGAAGGTTTTTCCATGTTAATCTTCTTTCTTTAATGTTGTGCAATTTTCATTTTCGAGAACTCTCACATCCTTGGTTAAAATCTATTCCAGGGTATTTACATTTTTTCACATTTCCTTGATTTTTGTGCCTAAGACTCACCAAAGCAGCGTGTTGAACCCCCCCCGACCTTGCTGCCCTGATTTCACACAGCAGAAGTGTTCTCAGCAGAAGCTGCCTCTGAGCGTTCCGCCTTAGCAGCTTGTGCTGCCATGCCTCTCCTTGAGGCTTGTGAAAGGCCGAGGGGAGAATGTGTCCAGGCCTCACAGTCCCAGATGCATGAGCCTCGCCTTCGAGGCCACCAGCCCTGTCTCAGACACAGTTGGGAATGTGGATTTATCCTAATCGTGTGCAGCATGCAGAGATAGGCTTGTGCCACAGCCACTGCAACCACTAAGACCTTCCTTTGTCTCACACTCAAGGTGGTGATCATTCCTGGCAGGGCCCAGCTGCCTTCACACCGGTGGTTTCTCTTGGCTGGTTCAAGCTCTGTGGGAGAGTGGGAGAATGAAGTGTACTCCTTTCCCGAGGCGATCTGCCAGAACCGTTCCCTTCTCTGGCTGCAGTCTAAACCCAGAGTCAGTGTGGTCTGTGAGTCTACATCAGGCGATTCTGTGATCCACTCTCTCTCCTTTTTCTCTGAATCTGTTTTTTTCCTTGGTCCCCAGGCGGGGTGTCTTGAGGTGGGGATGAGCTGGTGGCTCACTGCAGCCTCTGGCCTCTGGGACACGTAGTGAAAGGTTTGTGAGTGATTAACTTTTCCCTACTAAGGGTAATAGCTTCATATGTAGCCAGATGAGCTGTGATTTACACTGATTGCCAAGCATATTTGCTCCCCCAAAGATGCATGCCTATACAAATGAATATTACTCACATATCCACTAAAATTGAAAGATGTAAACTAAACCTTAGGGATCTGCTACTTCCAAAGAGGGTAGGTAGAACAGAGAGAATTTTGTTTGTTTCGTTTTTATCTCCAGGATTTCTATATAGAATAGATTGACGATGGCAATTTTGCGAAAATGTTGTTAAAGCTGGTATTGCATGGTAAGATGTAACTTTAGGTAGAGTGTATATTTTTATCTAAAGTGCTTTGTAGGATTGGTGCTGGCTTCAGTCATGGAGGAAAGTGATAAAATGCTCACAAGTCGGCCTGCTCTGTCTCCAGGCTCCGTTGAAGGAAGTAGGGGTAGGAGGAATTTATAGGCAAGCACAGGCAGTTAAGGAGTTTTTTCCAGGAAAGAAGGAAATAAGTGAAATTTGGTCTATGGAACTCTATTTCAGTTTTTACATTGATAAAATAGTTAATTTTTCACTTGCTTTTGAGTACGGAAAAGTCTTGGGAAAATAGTTTTCTTAAAATTTTATCGTGCAAAAAAAAACCCACTATGCATTATCAATGTGTTCTACATTAATCTCTCTCTTTTCAGTAGCTCTCTTACTACCGAAGAATCAGCTAAGAAATACTCAATGGTCGAGCCACCAGAAAGATGCCCAAGCTCTTCAGACACACTGATGCTTGCTGGTAAAGAGTAATTGCTTTTGAATGGTGAATAAGAAACACAGGTGAAAAGGTGCAATCAGGAAAATATGGGAAAACATTTTTTCTCTGACCATTTCTTAATGTAGAGTATAACGCATATCAAAGTTAAACAATCTGTCAAAAGGAAGTTACGACAAGGTCTTAATTTTGCTGAATTATTTGCATTTATATTTTTCTGGGTTTCTGGATAATTCTTACATGTACAGGGAAAAGAGAAGAAAAAAAAAATAAAGGTAATACATCAAGAAGCCCCTTACGTATAGTTTATATTTGCAAGTTTTTAACTTGGTTATAAATTTAAAATGTCCACATAGCTAATGTTAAAAATAAGGATAAAATTCTTGGCTTTCTAAGAATTTCAAGTCAGTATATTTAAAAATATTTTAACCAGGTGTATTTACAGTTTAACAAAATAGTTTTTAGTTGAAGGTAAAATTCTCATGTGCACATAAAATATATCTGAATAAGTTAAACTCTTTTCTGTGTCTTAGCTACATTGTTGTGGAAATGGAACATTAAGTAAAATGTTCTTTTAAAAAATTTTAAAGAATTACTAAGTTGCATTTGAAAACCAAAACCAAAATGAAAACAAGAACCCTGGGAAGCAAGTAAACACCAAAGCTGACTTCCACTCCACAGGTTTCTGGCAATTCCAGAAACCTTGAATTTCAGTTCCTCAGTATGTTATTATTTATCCCTGTGTAAGCTAAAAGGTAATTATCAGGAAGCTGTGTGCCACAGTATTCAATATTGTACTCATAAAATTTAAATAAATGTTTTCTTACTTAGACTAACTATAATGAATTGGAATTTCTTAACTGAATAAATCTCATAACCAAAATATTGCTTTAAAAAAATTTTTTTTTATTTGAAAGGCAAATTTTACACAGGGAGAGGTCTTCCATCTGCTGGTCTACTCCCCAAATGGGTACAAAGGCGAAAGCTGAGCCAGGATCTAAGAGATTCTTCTGGGTCTTCCACCTGCATGCAGGGCCCAATGACTTGAGTCTCTGCTGCTTTCTTAGACCATAAACAGGGAACTGGATCAGAAATAGAGAAGTTGGGAACTGGACTGGCACCCATACGAGATGCTGGCTCCACACTCAGAGGATTAGCTAGCTAAGTCACTGCACTGACTCCCAAAATATAATTAATTATATTAATTTAGTAACCAAAAGTGGTCAAATAAAATAATGGCTTATTTTTCCTATTAAATGTAAAATAACTTCTTGATAGTTATAGATTTTAAAAATTCGTTGTGACTTTTACTGTCATAATGGCCTGATTTTTTTTTTTACGAATATCAGTATCTTAAAAACGAATGACTGATATAACTTCAAGTTTTATCTTTTTGTAACATGAAAATATAGTCCATAATGAAATCCTATGGTGGTTCTTTTTATTGTTTTTTGTTTTCTTTGCCTTGTGAGCTATTTCTGGCTATTTGTTTTTTGGTTATTTGTTTTAAGCACTATCATTTGTGAGTACAATAATCAGTGTTCAGTTAAACACTTTAAAAATATGCTTTCTATTCAAGAGTACTTTGCAGCTGATCCTGGAAAGGCAGAGTGCTGGGAGAAAGCAAGTCTGACTCAAAACCAGACAGAAACTTTGGAAAACCCAGACATGCCTTTATGTCATGATCCCAGTGACACCGAAATGGAGATGCTTTTGCCAGAAAACACTGTTCAAATAGAATGTAAGTGCATAAGATTAAATTTGACTTAAATATTTTCAGGATGAAAAGAACAAACAGAAAAAAAAAAAAAGCAAAACAAACCAGTAGCCTCTGTGTTCGCTGTCCTGTCCTGCAGCAAACAACTTGATGCACCAAGAAGATAATAACACGCGTGGACCAGCATCAGATTTTTTAAAATTTAATTTAATGTTATGACACAGTTTCATAGGCTCTGGGATTCCCCCAATCCCTCTTAAAGCCCTCCCCCCATGTTGGATTCCTCCACCTTACTGCAATATTACAGTTCAAATCCAGTCATGATTCCTTCATTGCAAGCATGTACCATGCATAGAGTCCAGCATCTTATTGTCCAGATAAATTCAACAGTTTCTTCAGGAGACCCTGGTCTGAAAGTAGAGCTGGTAGAATATCATCCCGTCCAATGAAAAGCCACAACATAACATCAACAATTTACAACATTGTGGAATTAATTGACATGGTATTGAGTGACCAGTATGTTAAAAATGCAAGTTCTTAACCACATCCTGTGACTACTTCATTGACATTTCAATTTTAGTTTATATACAGAACTGGCTGCTATACACCTTAAAATGGCTATAGAGTACTATTCACCTGTCTCCTATCTATTTTCATTTTTATATTTAACAGCTTATAATATTGAAGCATAATTTTTACTGAACTTGGCGAATTTTAGGATAGTCCAAACTTGCTTATACCTCTAACAAGGCATAGCATCAGATTTTAAAAGAGGTTGTCACATAGGAATCAGGGCAGGTTGAGGCACTTACATTTCAACAGCAAGAGGCAGTCGCCTAATACACAATCTGTTCCTCTAGCAGGTTCCTTTCCTGAATCTGTTAACCTGTGGATTAAGGAATTTCCTGTTTATTCATTCCCATATTAACTGCTCCTGGAACACTTCTGGAGGAATTTCTAGTAGCTCTGGCTCCACACTGGCAAAGATTTACAATGTGCTGCAAAGATTTACAGTGTGGTACAATTTCATATGTACTGAGATTACCCCCCAAACTCCACCCCCCCCAGCAGATTTTCCAATTTTGCTGCAAAAGTATAGTCCTTTGTAAGGAATCATGATTGTATCAGTCTCTTATTTAAGTGTACCCCGACATTGCTGGTACAGACAGTGTCAGACAGTCCAGTATCCCATTGTCTATACATTTCCAACATCTTCATTGGGAATCCATCTTTTGTTTGGAAGCAGGGCTGCGTATTGCATATACCCTCACATCTGGATATGGTAGACCGCAGTCCACCACCACTTCCCTCTCGGATCTGTTAGCAAAGAGCTGGATTGGAAGTGGTACAGCCAAAACTCAAACCAGTGTTCATACAGAATGACGGCATCACAAGTGGAGGTTTAATATACTATGCCATGGCATCAACTCCTATTTTATACAATTTTTTAAAAACAAAACTTGGGTGGGGACCAGTGCTGGGGTCAGCATCCTATATGGATGTCAGACCTGCTCTGGTTGCTCCACTTTCTATTCAGCTGCCTGCTTATGGCTTGGAAAGGAGCAGAGATGGCTCAAGACCATGGGCCCTTGCACCCATGTGGGAGATCTGTGGAAAGATTCTACTGCCTGGCTTCAGATCAGCCCAGCTCTGGTAGTTGTGGCCGTTTGAGAAGTATGCCAGCAGATGAAAGATCTTTCATCACTCTCTCTCTCTTTCCTACTCTCTGTAACTCTGCCATTCAAAGAAAATAGAAGTTTGGTGAGCCCATAATTTGCATTGATATATAGTAGACTGATGTAAAGTGTACTATTTGATGGTTTTTACTATAATCCCAGTTATACAGTCATCCACAGTTACCATTTTCTCACAGGTTTACTGGTCCTACTCCCCATTTTACCTACCTGTGGAACTGCTGATCTGTTCTTGGTCTCTACAATTTTGTCTCTTTTGGACATTTCATGTAAATGCAATAATATAATATCTGGCCTTTTGTGGTTGGCTTTTTTCACTTGGCATGGTTTTGTTTTTTTTAATTTTTGAATTTAGTGGTACAATTTTATATATACTGGAATTCCCCCCAAACTCCCATCCCCCAACAGATTTTCCCCCTTGTTGCTACAATAGTATAGTCCTTCATAAGCAGTCATAATTCCATCAGTCTCTTATTTACGTATGCCCTGACATTGCTGGTACAGACAGTGTCAGACAGTCCAGCATCACATTGTCTATACATTTCCAACAGTGTCATTGGGAATCCATCTTTTGTTTGGAAGCAGGACTGCATGTTTCATTGTACCCCCACATATGGGTGTGGTAGACCCCAGTACTCCATCACTATACATTTCCATAAATGAGAAACCATGAAACAAGGTCCACAACTGGTATGAATTAGAACAACAACAACAAAATGACAGCACCATAAAAAACTTGCCACTGAGTAACCAACACATGGGTGACAAAAAGGAAACCCAAAAGTCTTGGGAAAAATGACTTGGCATACTTTTTAAGGTTCTTGCATATAATAAAATATACAGCTTATATAAGATATGATTCAAATCATTTTTATTGAAGAGGTAGCGGAAGAAGCAGAGACAGACAGAGATCCTCCATCTACTGGTACAACTCCTAAGGTGCCAGACAGACACAGCTGGGCCAGGCTGGAACCAAGATCCTAGAACTCAACGTGATCCTCTCACACAGTTGTTAGGAATTCCAGAACTTGAGGTATCACTTGCTCCCTCTTAGTGTACACACTAAAGGAAGTTGAAATTAGAAGGGGATCCAGAACTTACATGGAATGCAAGCATTCTAATTTAGGTCTTAAGCACTGTGCCAAATGTCCATTTTGGCATTTTTAAAATCAGGTTGATTTTTTTAAGATTTATTTATTTTACTTGGAAAGTCAGACATACAGAGAGGAAGAGAAACAGAGAGGAAGATCTTCCATCTGATGATTCACTCCCCAAGTAACTGCAATGGCTGATGCTGTGCCGATCCAAAGCCAGGTTCCAAGGCACTGGACGGTCCTCTACTGCTTTCCCAGGCCACAAGCAGGGGGCTGGAAGGGAACTGGTGCCCATATGGGATCCCAGCGCGTTCAAGGCAAGGACTTTAGCCTCTAGGCCACCGTGCTGGGCCCAATCAGGTTGATTTTTAAATATTGTATTATTTATATATTTTAGATACAGTTCTTTGTCAAATTTTGTGTTGCATGTGGGGTTTTTTCATTCGTTTGCTTTTTTGTCATACACGTTTTTGACTTTTAGTACAAATGTAAACTCTCTAGCAACAGGGCTTTTCTTGAATTTTTTTGCTTTTTAATCTGGTTTTGTATAATAGGAAAAAAGGATCTAAATTTTTATCCTTTTAAAAATTTATTCAGATTAACATTTAAAAAAAACAGGAAATTTAGTACTCCTAAGGATCAAATCCTATTAATAAAAACATGCAATTAATAGTTATCCCAATCAAATGCTTATTTACGCATGGAGATAATTTAAGTATTTTTTTTTTGCTTGTTTTCTGTTTTCAGCATGTCTAGAGAATGAAAGTTGTTCATCACCTATTATACTTAATAATGAGAAATCTACAAATGTTCATTTTTCACCTCCACAAAATAGTCCACCTATGGCAGAAGTAACAGAAATATGTTTTCCTGATGGTTTTGTCTCTACTCAAACACCAACAAAAGAAGAAACACCAAAGAATGATCAAGAGCTAGTTGATGGAATAATCCAGGAAAATGAAAATAAGAATCTCTTTGAACTTGAGTGCATGGGACCATCTGTTGAATTATCTTCCTCTTCAAGAATTAACAAAGCATCTTGTGAGCACCATAAAGAGTGGGATAAATGTTTGGACCCTCTAAGCGATTTTATTATGCTGAGAAATAAACATATGACTTGTACATCAAGAACTGAAGTCACAAACAATGAAGAAAAAGAGGGTGGGTAATTTCATAATATTTTGGTATTAATGTGGTAAGTTCAAGGACTTAGTATGTAATTTATCACAGAAGTCATAGAAAATTCTTCTAAAAGAGAATGCATGTTTTTCACAATAAATGTCATTAATTTGGTATTTCTTGTAAATATATAGAGATGGCTCTGAATATAGAAATGTGTTTTCCAAGAATTTGTCGTTGTCTACAACTGACCTATCAATATTCCTGATCCTTCTGATTTTTGTTGATTATACTGCCATTCTTTATTACCTTTTAATTAAAAGTCCTTTTTCAGTGCTTTAACTTATTTTTGAATGTAGGCTTTAGGACTTTTTTGCCCATTTATTTGATCAAGAGTATGACTTTTTGTCCTATATACCACTGAGAGACACAAGATTGAAACATAATGGAACCTTTTGAAGATCTGCTTAAAGTTATATTGCTTTGTCCTTCAGTATATTTGTCACAGCAAAAGATTTGGTGAAAATACAGAATATTATATAAACATTATGTTTACAGATATTCACCTTACATTTCTATGGAATAGTTTGATCACCTTATTACTTACTTCAGTAGGTTAGGTTAGTGTAACTGAGATCCCTCTAACCAATATTTGCAATATAAGCTTAACTTCTAAATTAAAAAATGAGCAAAATACAAAAGATTAAAATTGTGCTACATAAATGGGAATTTTAAAAAAGACTTGTTATTCTTGGGTTGGTTAATATTTTCAAATTCTGCTCATCCATAAAATAGAAGATTCCATGCGAAAAGTAATACTGATACACTCTTCTGGTTGTCATGCTTATGGTAATGTCTTTTAATAGGTGTATTAATGACAGAAAATGAGGAAAAACAACGAGAAAGTGGGGAAAAAACAGAATGTTTTCAAGTAAAAGAAATATGCATTCATTTACAAAAGCATTAGCTTTAATGTTAGATGGGAATGCTTCAGTACCCCTGATATTTCCTCAATTACTGTTATTTCCCTAGCTTCTTGCCCCTTTATACATTCTTTCCTAAGGGATGGAAAGACTTACCTACTCTGTGAATTTGAAAATAATTTGGGAGTGACTTTGTGGAACTGAACAGCCCAGAAGGAATGAGCGTCCTTTACTGCTCTGTCATGGCTCTTTTCCAAATAGGAAATCTTACCTCTGTCCAGCATATTCTGGGACTTGGTAGGGGATTCTTTTATTTACTTACCAAGCTCACTGGACTTTCAAGCTAAACTCTGTTCTCTAGTTAGTCTTTATTAGCAATAGTAGTAACATTTTGGTATATATTTTACTTCTTGTTTTATTTTACAGTTGATTCAGGAACAAAAAATGTTATAATTTACTATACCACCTCAAAATTTCCAAAAATCATTATCATTTGTTCATATATAATCCAGTTGTTTAGTTAATTGAGAGAATTAGATGAAAATCATAATTTAGTTTTATATATTCATTTTTGTTTTTAAACATGTTAAAATGTTTTAAGATGATGTTTCTCAAGTTATCTTGTAATTATATATTGATGGGCAACATTGCTATATAATTAAACAAAATTTAAAAAATGTATTTATATATATACACACACTCATACATATCCTACCAGAGAAATATAACTAACATATATTGAGTACACTGTGCCAGGGAATTACATTTCGGGAGTTACATTACTCCAAATTACATTTAGAGATAAATGTGATATTGATGCTGACCTCGAGTTGCTTATGGTATAGTATAGTGGGCCACACCTGCAAATAAGTCATTTCCATATGATGTGAGAAGTGCCAGAGAGAAGCATACACAGAGTACTAAAAAATCAGAAAGAAGGGGCGTTGTGTCGGCCTGGAGTAAGGCAGTCAGTTCTATCAGCTTTCTGTTTGAGGGTGTCCGGGAGCTGAAGGTGAGTAGTGGGAACTGGAGACCCAGCAGGTTTGAGCAGAGGGGATGATGTAGCCAGCTGAAGAGTAAATGAAGGTCACAGAAAACCGAAAGAGATACTTATTACTGATGTGTCGTGGTAGAGAAATGTAATAGCTGTGATGATATTTTAGAAGGTAGTAAGGTAAATAACATCAAGTTTTCCCTTACCCATCTACATTTACTATTTTATTAGAATTTCAAGATAAAGAAGAATGTTCATTGCCTCTTCAGGAAAAAAGTCCTATTGTCTGTGCTGATAAATCCCCAGAGAACCTAATTCCAAAATGGGGAGTAGATAATGTCATTGAAATTCAAGCATCAGGTATGCTACATGCTTTTAAAATGTGTTTGGATTTATTTGATCTGAAAGCCCTGTCGGGATATCCAGGACAGATCTTATTTTCTATGTAGTTTTCTTTGTTTAAGATATTTCTTCATTCCACTCCTTCTTTCGAGTTTCTTTTCAGATTGAGAATGCCCTGTGCATTTCTTCTGCCCCTGCTCTTTGCCCTTATGTATTCTGTCATTTCTTCTTTGGGTAAAACTGCTGCTGTTTCTATTTAACAGAGAAAAAACCTGTGGATTGGGAATCCTCCGACTGGAGAGAATCCTCAGCCTGGAAAGTGAACTGCTCATGGCTGCCCCCTCTGTTCTGTTCCACAGTCTCAGTGACATCAAGAAGTCACTACCAGTTGCTCCTCTTAATGTTTCTTTTATTTCTGCAGATAATATTCTCTGACTTGTAAAGCATAATCTGCTTAAGAGCAGCTTGTTTTCATTAAAATCAGTAAGGAAATAATGACACTAATCCTCCAGTATCCAGTATCCTTTTATTCTTTCAGTTAAGTTTTTTTTTTTTGCTGTCTCAATGATTATTCAAAAACTGTTTTTCTTAACCTGACACTTCCTAAATGCCATGCTACTTATTGAATAAATTATTTGTAATAAATGAGATAATCACAAAACCATTTAGCTCTATAAGGATTATGTTTTATAATTTTATCATAAATATTGCAAAAATAAATCTGTTAATTCATTATTTTTAACTCAGCAAAGAATTTGTATAAATTTTCATAAAGTAACATACTCAAATGTTTTATCAAAAAGAGCATATAATCATAATAAAAACACTGTTTTTAATATTTTTATTTCTGTAGAGAGTCAGTGCCAAGCATACTGTCTTCTAGAAGCAGCAGCTGCTCCTGTCTTGAAAAAGCTTGCGTGCCTCTCTCCTCTCCCTGTCACTAATTGGAAATTTGCCACTGTTATTTTTGATGAAACAAGGTTCTTCTTAAAGGAACAAGAAAAAATAATAAATGATGCTGTTCACCAAGGTGAGGTCAAATCACAGTCACAGTTTTTAAAATTAAATGTCTATGGCTCATTCTATCAAGTTGGTAAAAACTGAGTATAGAAGATACAGACACTAGCTATGGGAAGAAATTACTGTAAATTTAACTTACTTTGGTTTCCTAAACCAAAACTGGAGGATAAACTGACTGAGTAGAAAAGGGTAAGAAATATTATCTGGTGTTGTTTCCTAATATGTTGCAAATTGACACATATTACCTAACAAAATCCTATAACAGAAACTAGTTAAGCTATCATTTTTATAATCTGAACTATGTGGTCCCCTCTTAAAAGGGGAGTAAAAATATGTTAGTTTTTAAGATTTTTTTCTTTTGGTAAAGATGAAATAAAATGGACTAGGGTTATTTAACAACAACAACAACAAAAGGCAGAGACCATTTAAGATTATAGACATCAGACGATGAGGGGCATGGTTCCTGCTCTTGGGAAATGAGTAGACGAGCCCTATCTATGCCTAGATTACTGACTTGGAAGAGTTGCCAAGCCATGACACAGGGAAGATGCCTAAGGCAGAGTCCAGGGGGTAGATTGACTCTGAAGAAACAAAGCGAGAGTCTTAGGAAATCGAATTGGGGATAGTTAAGAATAGAATATAAGAGAGCAGACAGCATCACATAGACAATCCTAGAGATGTGCATATGGACTCAATTGAACAAAGAATATATGTGAGGACACTGCCTGTGGCTGGGGAAGCAAATCATTTAAAAAATTAGAGGGAATAGTGTGCCACAGTCACACAAGGCATGGGATAATACATGTTCCCAGTAGCCAGACTAGAAACACTCGTAATTCATCAGGTTGAAACAGATACCTAGAAAAGTCTTACCTTGGAGGTGAGGAATAATTATCCATAGATTTAGCATGTTCTGAAGCTGCCTAACATGATAAAGGCAAGACCCAAAAAAATCTGTTTCAAGGAACTGTCTTTTTTATGCATATGGTAACAAAGCTTTAGGGCCTTCATGTAAAAAATACATCATTTACCAAGGAAATTTTACCAAGAAAATATCTGCAATATCTGGATATTTTACCAAGGAAATATCTGCAGTGTCTGGTATCCAGTTAGTTTAGCTCTCACACAGAGAGTCAGGAAAATCAACTTATAATGAGAACAAATCAAAAGAAGCCCAGGGGCGCAGCATGATGGCTCAGTGGCTAAATCCTCGCCATACGTGCGGGTTTGTGTCCATGTCCCAGTTGCTCCAATTCCCGTCCAGCTCCCTGCTTATGGCCTGGGAAAGCAGTTGAGGACGGCCCAAAGCCTTGGGACCCTGCACCTGCATGGGAGACCCAGAAGAAGAAGCTCCTGGCTCCTGACTTTGGATCAGCTCAGCTCTGGCCATTGAGGACACTTGGGGAGTGAACCAGCTGATAGAAGATCTTTCTGTCTCTCCTTCTGGCTGCAAATCTGCCTTCCAAATAAAAAGTAAATCTTAAAAAAATAAATAACAGAACTAACGAAGGTAGCAGAGTTATCAGAAAATGACAGTGGCACTTAGTCCAGACCCTAAATTGGGGCATAAAGGAAACTCAGCACTAGTTCAGTGGGAGTTTGAAATCTGAGCTCCTTCTCCAATCTTGCAACTACCATTTACTTTTTAGAGTCCTCAGATATTCTTCCATCTATTCTATGCCACTGATAATTGCTCAGACATGACTCAGTATGCTTACTCTATCTTATCTGGAGCATAATTGATTTTATTTATTTAGACAGTTATTTGAGAGGGATGGTAGTGGGGAGAGAGAGTGAATGAAAGAATGCTGCCATCTGTTGGTTTACTTCTCTCGTGCTCACAATGATTAGGGCTTGGCCAGGCTGGAACCTGAGATAGGAATTCAGTGCAGGTGTCTCAGTAGGTGGCGGAGACTCAGTACTGCACCCATCACCTGGCTTTTCCCAGGGTGACGGTAGGAAGCTGGAGTTGGGAGCAAAGTTGTGGCTGAAACCCAGGCACTCTGTTATGGAATGCAGGTGTCCCATTCAGCATCTTAACTCCTAGACCACATGCTCATCTCTTGGTGTCAGAAAGCTCTGAAACTGCATAGGACACGATAATCAGACAATTTACCTATTCCTATTAATGTATCTTTTGTTTGAATCATATCTTTGGATAAATATTCCCAGGTTCACACCTCCAATTCAAAGTATTTTAATGCAGTGTTCTTCTATCCTTGTCTTAACCAATTGCAAAATTATTAATTTCATTTCCTTTTTTGTTTCATAGCTAATAATCTTTGAACTTTTCCCAACAATAAAAATAATCATTGGAAACAACAGGGTGAACTCTAAGGTTAGCTGTCTATTTGAATGCCAGTCCCACCTTTTACTCACTAGTTGACCTTGAACTCTTAGTAACCTCAATAAGACTGTATTTGCCTATTCATAAGATGACATTCATAATGAATCTCCTTGTAAGATTATTTTTATAAATCAAATCAAATAAGCAGTTTGTATACAGCCTGGAATCTACTAAGCACTCATTAATAAATGTTAGTTATTATTACTAAGCAGATTCTGATATATTTGTATGTATATGAAACTTCTAATACATGGCCTATGTTTTTAAATATTTTTGCTGCTTTAGGTACAAATGATGGAAGAGAAATGACGTTCAAGTATGCTGCTGTCTTGCACCTTCTGGTAACTACCAGGGATGTCCTTCTAACGTGCGATGTAGACACAGCATTAGGTTGGTAGGGGAAATCTTACTTCCTCCTTTCTGTTGACACATTTCACCTGAAAAAGACATGTCTTAATATAATTGTCTATTATAAACTTTTTGGCATAATATAGCAGAGCATACACATTTCTTGCTTATCTTCGTTAAGAGAAATTGTCTTTACAACCATAATCATCTAGAAAAGTAAGTTTAGGATTCAATAATCTCAGTTTGAATTAGAGAATCTTAATGGCTGTTAGCAGTTTTGAGTGCATAATCATTATCGCGTACCACTTTTTTCTCATATACGCTACCAAAGTGAGGACATCATGGACTATTTAATGTGTCGTTTGACTTTTTGCTATACACATTTCAGGTTTTCCTTTCATGTTTGTAGTTCTGATTCTTTATTAGATAAAATACAACTAAATTATAAAGAGTATGACCTTTCACTTTTATTTGTAGCATATGTTAATATTCTTAAGTAACAAAATCAAACTTTGGATCATAGTAGAAATTTTGAAAATTTGGGGGATTTTTCCCAATGTATCCAAATAAATATATGTTTTACCATATTGGCTCTTGAATTCCCTTATTGCAGGATTCTTTATATTCATTTACTGATGATATGCTTGTGAGGTTGTGTTTTATGATTTAGTTTCCAGAACTTATTTCAAATAATTAAAGTAAATACTTTTCCTCTGATCTAAAACTCAAGCTTTTTTTAAATTTATGACCCTGATATATCACTGGTTTTTAAATTTTTTAGGATTTTTTTGGAAACTACATGGTTGAGAGGGATGGTTGGAGTGGGGAGGGACAGGTATAGGAAAATGTGGGTGGAACAAATTTGTTTTTCCTCCTGTGTCTGCGGGAGAGGAGAAGAAGGGGGCCATCCTTGTGGTCAAATTAAATCACCATCTGAGATGGGGGGACAGTCATTTGGTGATGCCTTGGAGACCCTGATGAGGAATAGTGTTTCTAGGGTGTTACTTGAATGGCTTTGATAGTTCTGAGAAGTTGTTTCATTGTTCCAGGGTTGAAAAAAATCTTTCTAAGGTTTATTGGATGAGAAAGTTCACCTTAGTGCATCTACACACCCAGAAACATGTTGTCCAACCTGTTCTGCTTTCCATCCTCTGACAAGGCAGTTGATGTGTCTTGCTGATTAGATGAGCTAGCTGTCATATCCCCCATGTGCATCTGGGCACACTGACACTGCACAGGCATGAGCAACTGGAGGGCCAGTTCCCAATACGTGTTCTCCAAGGCTGGATCACACATTCTGTGATTTTCCCTGTGGCTGGGGCTGAGTCAAGTGGTCTAGTTAGGGAGGCCCACAAGAAACCTCAACTAGGGTGACCTCACTCAGACTTGCCTCAGGTGTGGCAGCCAGTGCAGGGTCAAGTGCAGTCTGTTCCCTGCAGCAGCCAATGCGTATACCAGTTAATGCAACAACCTGCCTGGTCTGTTCCACCCCAGCCCAGTATCTCATGTGAACCAGTGGGTGCTGGTGTCCAGCCCAGCAAGCTTGCCACAGACCTGATCTTCATGCATACCAGTAGGTGGCGCAGCCTAGTCAATGTCTTTAATTAAAATCATAAAATATTAAATATAATTTTAACAGTTGCTGTTATGACTCATTTTCTTTTTATATCTTTACCATGCATTTTCTCAGCAAAAAGGCTTATGATTTTTTTCATGATTTTGCTGTAACAGGATATTTGTCAAATGCAAAAGATGTCTACAGAAGTATTGTGGGCTCTTATTTGGATGGCATTTGGAGACAGCTGGACATTGTACAGTTTACTAATGACAAAAAGTCTGAAGTTAACTACAGAATACAGGAATTGCAATGTCAGATTTTAAATTGGATGCAAGATCAACAGCAAATTAAGGTGAAGTATTGGGATAATGCAGATAAACGTAACCAGTTTAAATAAGAAACGTATGTCAGATAAAATTTCGTGTTTCAGTTTGAAATGATGAGATTGTCTGTACTATTTGGTCACTTGACAGTTTTCTCCTCATGTAAGGGAACAAAATAGAATTTAGGTACAGGAAAAGGATAATTGGTATCATTATTCATGTTTCTTAATTTAAACAATATTTCTCTTTCTAGTCTACGTTTTTTTTTTTAATGGATTAGTTCCCTAACTGTCAAGAATTTTATCTGGTGCCTCATATACTTCTAAGAACATGTATAGAGAGAATTACAGTAATTTATTTTTGGTCATTGAGCCAGCAACTCATATACATCACTTAGTTTATATTGGTGTACTGCAAGTCGTTTGACCTGCTGTGTCAAGCGTCTTTGTTATGTTAATGAACATTTTGAGAAAATGCTTTTTAAACAGCAAACAGAAAGGCATTTCAATTTGCTTATACTAAATCTAGATATAAACTTTTGCAACCGTTTTCATCTTTTTTCTCTTGTTATGCCCCTTTGAAGTGTCTGGTGCAGCTTTCTTAAGTTATTAAGATAAATTAATAAGTAAAAGATTTTAATTGAAAATACAGCAGCAAATAATTGGCTTGGCTCTTAACAATTCAAACATGTCTGGTTTGAGGTTAACACTAATACTGTGAAAATAAGCAGAGATAACTTGTATGTTGATAGTCATATATGAGGGCACCTTAAAAAGTTATGGGGAAATGAAAAAGACAACTTTCCTTGGGTGTAAAAGATTTGAATACTTCCATAGTTTCTCCATAAGATCTACTTTCCACGAAAAATTCTAAAGACCCCCTGTATGTGGGAATTCTTGAAGAAAGCTAAGAATATACTAATCCTCAGTATTTTCCTCCGTGAGGTGTGACTTTGTCTTGTCAAAATTTATTTATTTGAGTTATTTAAGCATTGACATCTTTTACAGCAGAAATATTTACATTGTAAGCTTGTATTAGGTTCATGTGATCAGTTTGTTATTTTGTCATGGAAGCAAAACTATGAAAAAATTTTCACATCGTAAACATGAAGTTCTTATTTTTGGCTAGGTGCTGATTATAATAAGAATGGATTCAGATGTTGAAAAACATTTACTCATTAAAATCCTATCCAAAATAGAAGGTAGGCAAATTTAAATTATACTTATTGGCAACAAATGCTTGAATATATAAAGATGTTTTGATGTAGCCAGATTCTTTAATTAATATGTAAGTATCATACCATAAAATTCACCCTTTAAAAGAATAAAACTTAGATGTAATCATTTTTAGATCAGTCTGGATTATTAATTGGCTATATAAATATGTAATATTTATATGTATTATTAATAATTTACATGTTTTAGAGTTTGCTTATTTATTGCTAAATAATATTGATTTCTTACAACACTCTGTTGTTTTAAGATTTATTTATTTTTGTTGAAAAGCAGAATAACAGAGAGAAAAGGAGAGACAAAGATCTTCCACCTGCTGCTTCACTCCCTAAATAGCTGCAACGGCCAGAGTTAAGCTGAGCTGAAGCCAGGAGCCAGGAGCTTCTTCCAGATCTCCCACATGGGTGCAGAGTCCCAAGGACTTGGGCCATCCTTTGCTGCTTTCCCAGTCCACAAGTAGGGAGCGTATCAAAAGTGGAGCAGCTAGGACTTGAACCAGTGGCCAAATGGGATGCCTGTATCATAGGCAGAAGTTTAGCCTACTTTGCCAGAGTGCCAGCCCCCCTCCCAACTCTAATAATAAATTTTCTTCACATAGTTTTACAAAATTATAGAAATTAAAGTTCATAAAAGTGACATAGCATGACAGATCTGTCAGGCAGTAAGTAAGTACCAGAATCAAGATTTGATCCTAAGACTCTTTTTGTCCACTGCTACCTTTAGCTCCCTCATAACCTCCAACATCTTGAAGATCTAGAATATATGGACACCTTTGTATTTGATTTTCTTTAATTTCCTCAGTTGGTGATTTGATCCATCACTTTAATTGGTCTTGTCCTTCTGTTGAATTTTCCATTTAAATCTCTGCCTTGAATAAATCGTATGTTTATCCTCTTTTCCTGTGAGGAAGTTGCTGAGCACTTCTGGAGAAAATCACGTGACCATGTAGATTGGTGCCGTTGAAACTCATGCTCTGTGAACGTACCCAGGCTCTTTATACCTACGTGAGCTTTCTCAGTGTGCGTGGTCCTGCTTCCTCTTTCCCTCATAGCTATATCACAAATCCCTACCGGGCTCATTTTCAGTAATCAGGTGAGAATACTCCATCCTGACCTCCTACAAAATCACCTCTGCTGTTTTCCCCTATTCTTTTATTATTTTCTTTCTCTCTGTCTTTTTCTCAAAAGTGAAACCCCTCCTTTTGGAGATGAATCTTTTAAAAAGAAATCTTAAACTATTTTGTTTATGTATTTGGAAGATAGAGTTACAAAGAGAAAGCGAGAGAGAATCCTCCATCCACTGATTTACTCCCAAATGATCACAGGGACTGGGATTGACCAGGCCAAAGTCAGGAGCCAGGAGCTTCTTCCCTGTCTCCCACTTAAATGGTGTGGTCCAAGCACTTGGGGACTGGGGTCCAAGATGCAGGGGCCCAAGGACTTAGGCATTCCTCTGCTTTCCCAGGTGAATTATCAGGGAACTGAGTCAGAAATGGAGTATCTGGGACTTGAACTGGTGCCTAAATGGGATGTCAGCACTGCAGACAGTAACTCGATCCCCTGTGCCACAGCACTGGCCCCTGGAGGCAAGTGTTAGACTTGTACTTTAGACACCAACTCTTCCTGTAGCATCAAGCTCTGTGTTCCATCACTGATTCGGCTTCATCTCCACTGGCTCTTCCCCTTAATGCTTCAGTGCCACCTTCCACCTATATCATCCTTTAGTTAGGATTTCTCCTTTCTCTACAAACTGCATCTTTGGCCATTTCTATTCCCTGAAATATTTATTTACTCTAAGCTTATCAAACTGTTTCCTGTGCTGTTCCCTATCTTTTTGCCTTTATTCCCCGTTATAGTAATGAGAATACTCTTCCTCCTTTAGAAACCTGATTCTTACAGATCCTTTAAAAATTAAACTTGTTTTTAAGGAAATCTTAATTCAACAGTTTTTCTATGTGTTATCAGGATATTCTGTACATACTTTTTTTTTTACAGATTTATTTATTTATTTATTTATTTTTATTGGAAAGGCGGATATACAGAGAGGAGAGACAGAGGGGAAGATCTTCCATCCAATGATTCACTCCCCAGGCAGCCACAACGGCTGGAGCTGAGCCAATCCGAAGCCAGGAGCCTCTTCCGGGTCTCCCACATGGGTGCAGGGTTCCAAGGCTTTGGGCCGTCCTCTACTGCTTTCCCAGGCCACAGGCAGGGAGCTGGTTGGGAAGCGGGACTACCGGGATTCGAACCAGCGCCTATATGGGATCCTGGGCGTGCAAGGCGAGGATCTTAACCACTTGCACCATCGTGCTGGGCCCCGTACATACTTCTAAGGTGCCATTTACCACCCAGGACTTGAAGAACTGATTCTCTTGTTTCTTTCCTCACTAAAATGTCAGCTTCTGAGGAATAAGGATTGTTGAGTAATTTGTATTCCTAGAATTCAGGAAAATGTGTACAGTAGAGAAGACACTCAGTGGAAGTTTATTAGATGAATGTATGAAACAATTGTTTTATATCTAGTCCAAAGTAAGACTAGTGACACGATCGCACTGAAACATACAGACATAGCAACAGGCATCAGTGGAGATAGCCAAGTTACATACTGCGCTAAGATGTAGTAATGTGAGGGAAGAAAGCTCCTTCAAGCAGAGCAGTAGAAGGTGCTATTTCTGTTTTTTTTTTTGGTAAGGAAATTTATTTATTTGAAAGGCAGAATTACAGAGAGGAGAGACAGAGAGGGGGTGAGAATGGAGGCAGAGAGAGAGAGGTAGAGAGACAGATTTTCAATCTGCTGATTCACTCTGCAAATGGTTGCAAAGGCTGGAATTGGGTTCTCTTGGGGCTTGGAGCTTCTTCCTGGTCTCCCACGTGGGTACAGGGACCCAAGCACTTGGGCTATCCTCTGCTGCTTTGCCATGCGCATTACAGGGAGCTGAATTAGACGTGGATCATCTGGGACTTGAACCAAGTGCCCCTGTGGGATGCCTCTACGCTACACTTCAACCCCATGGAGCTGTTTCTTAATTATCTGATCATGTGCCCCGAGTCCACATTTGCAATCTTGGATCTTTAATTATTTCATTCAGTTTTCCACTTCTGGGAATCATAAGTCATATTTTCTAAAATCATTACGAGTCTTACTTCTGGGCCCGGCGCAGTGGCCTAGTGGCTAAATGCACAGGGATCCCATATGGGCACCAGTTCTAATCCCGGCGGCCCCGCTTCCCATCCAAGCTCCCTACTTGTGACCTGGGAATGCAGTCGAGGACGGCCCAAAGCCTTGGGACCCTGCACTCACATAGGACACCCAGAAGAGCTCCTGGATCCTGGCTTCAGATCGGCGCAGCACCAGTTGTTGCAGTCACTTGGGGAGTGAAACATCAACAGAAGATCTTCCTCTCTGTCTCTCCTCCTCTCTGTATATCTGACTTTGCAATAAAAATAAATAAATCTTTAAAAAAAAAAAAAGATTCTTACTAGTATCAGAATGTTAGAGCAATGTTAATAATTTTAGGGATGAGATTGCCACAGTTGTCAGGAATCAAAATAATGTGGGGGTATACAAAAAATAATCATCAGGAGCACTTTGGCCCGGTGGTTAAGATTCTGGTTAGAATGCTCAGGCCTGTGCTGGAGCGCTTGTCTCCGCTCTGACTCTGGCTGCACCCTCCTGAGGACACAGACCCTGCGAAGCAGCAGTGATGGCTCACTCAGGTGGGAGAGCGGAGTTGCGTTCCTGGCTGGTTGCATCCCTGCCTTAGTCCTGATCCTTGCTGGCATTGAGGAAGAGGCCTAGCAGATGGAGCTCTGTTTCTCTGTCTCTATTTTTTAATCAAGAAAATGCTGATTAGCATTATAAAACACAGGAATCTGAATACCAAAGGCATGTTTAAGAAGCTCAGCAAACATCCTTGTTCCACAGAGGAATATTAACATCTAAGTTCTGGGCACCTTCTCCTTTAATATCATCTGGGATATACTTTTTTTGATAGATTACTGCTGTATGTCATCTGGGATTCCTGCTGAATATCTCTGTTTCTTTTTGCATTTGAGATTATATCATTATTATTCCTGTTATTATTTTGATACACACAATGCCTATTGACAAAAAATATTGACATACTGACTCTATTAACTGAATCTGTAAACCCAAACTAGTAGAAACCAGATCTCTTTTTTCTTCTTTTTTCTGTGTAGTGCTATAAAGTAAAAATGTCGTCTCACTTTCTATGTGTTTGCAAGGTGTAGAAATGGGGGCCAGTGATGTAAGTCAACCTTGCAATGCCAGAATCTTGTATTAGAATGCTGGTTACAGTCCAGTTGCTGTATTACCCATACAGCTCCCTGCTAATGATCAAAAGTTGTGAAGTCATATAAATTTAAATGAAATTGTTAACTGTTACTGTGAATTATTACAACTTAAAATACAAACTCTGCTATTTATTTATGTACTTAAATTTTGACTATAAAAAAGGTAAAATTTTCCATCTTTAACAAAATAGAATTAATGCCAATAAGATTATAGGGTGCTTAATTTAGTTAATTTACATTTTTGATCCACTTTATTATTTCAGATCATAAAAATAGAATGTCTATTCACTCTACACACACACACATCAGAAATGTTTCTTATAGTTCAGATATTCTAATATACTAAATGTGGAAAAGTCAGCAAATTATACTTTTAGCAGTTTCCTTGTCCACAGATGTTTTAATTTATTATATGGTACTGAAATATATGACACATCAAGAATGTGTATTAGCATTCAAAAAAGCATATTAAAAGACCTCTTTTCCTCTCAACAGGTTTAACACTTACTGTCTATCACTCGAATGAAGGAAAAGATTTTCTGGAATCTAGTCCTCTTTTAAATGGGTAAAAATGTATTTATTCATCTACAAAGAGCAAACATACCAACCAATCCTATTAGAAAAGCAAGATTTCTCCTAGAATTTAGCTTACAAAGTTTAATAAAATTTGCAATTTATCAAATGTCTGTACTCTCTTCCTGGAAAAAAAAACAGCTTTCTTAAAATAAAGCATTTTAATTTAGAAATTTTGTGTATCCCATATGTTAATGTCTAGGAATCTGGCTCAGTCATATTTTACTATATGTGAAGTATCGATGCTACTGTTAGCAGTAGTGCACAAGAACCTATTTAGATTTAGCCCCTTTTTCACCAGCAGCTTTGCTCGCTGGTGTCTTTCACACCTCCTTTCTTCCTTCTGGATTCTTCTCACTTCTTTTTTTTTTTTAATTTTGACAATCTTTACATAGTTAATTTGGGTAAAAAGGTTCAAGGGCTACAGGAAAATGGGTAAGACTATTATTTCCATATTGTTTTCTTCTCACTTCTGAAGCACATGCTTGAGCAATTTTTTCAGTGAAGGCCTGATATTATACATCCAATGTTGATTCATCCAAAAAGTCGTTATTTTGCTTTAATTTCTACAAAATTATTTAATTCTAATATTGATACTAAGTAATAAAAGAATATAAATCAAACAGCAAATCATCATACACCATTCCTTTAAATAGAAGACAATAATAGAGACTTTTAGCTATACTAGATACTGATATATGAAATTTGATATTAGGAAAGCTAAACTTAAGATATTTTAAGTCTCCATCATTTTTGCTCTTATTTAATAACTGGAAATTCACTGAGGAAGAACATAACCTGTTTTCATAGTTGCTGGATGATATTTCATTACATAGGTTCTCAAAGTTTAAGACTATGTAAGAAACTGAGATTAGTTTCTTGTAATGATTTCTGTTATAGATGATGCTCAGGTAATAGAGCCAGGCTCTCTGCCGTTTGAAGATGTATTAAAAAGGTGTCATCATCAAAAAGAAAGTTCAGAAAGGATGAGAGGAGTTGGAGAGCAAATCAGAGTCCTCCCTAACTGAGCAAATAGAAAAGAACAGCAAGAAACAATCCTTTTAGCATTCCAAATAGTGAGATAAATATCATTACATTTTCTTGGTTCTCTTTGGTTTTCAGTACAAGTTCCTGTGTAATTATACACAATCAATATATTGGCGCCAACTTCCCTTGGGGAGATTTCTCATTTGTGGTGGAATACAATTATGTAGAAAATTCTTATTGGACCACACACTGCAAAAAATTGAATATCCCTTACCTACGCTTAAAAGTGATTCTTCCAGACACAGTTTTACAGAGTAAGTATATGAACATATCCTGTTGCTGCACCATTAGGATAAAAAATTTCTCTTTTCTGTTAATGATCTGTGGGAAGAAAATAGGCTGCAGCATTAAGAGTTAAATTCAAGCTGTGGTTGCACCATATTTGTACGATCTCGGGCAAGTCGTTAACTGGCATGTCTTGTTATTTGTAAAGTAAGATTTAATAATTATATATTTTTAAAGTATTTATTTATTTTTATTGCAAAGTCAGATATACTGAGAGGAAGATCTTCTGTCCGATGTTTCACTCCCCAGGTGGCCGCAATGGCTGGTGCTGTGCCAGTCCAAAGCCAGGATCCAGGAGCTCTTCCGGGTCTCCTATGTGGGTGCAGGGTCCCAGGGTTTTGGGCTTCCTCAACTGCTTTCCCAGGCCAAAAGCAGGGAGCTGGATGGGAAGTGGAGCTGCCAGGATTAGAACTGGCGCCCATATGGGATCCCTGTGCATTGAAGGCAAGGACTTTAGCCGCTAGGCCATTGCACCGGGCCTACTAATTATGTTTGTATTCATCTTTTCTTCTAACATTTTATTTATAATAGCATAATTTATTACAGTAAGATCCAATCTCAAGCTAATGCTGTTATTTGTTGTTATATTTTTGTTGAATTTTAGGGGAAAGTTACGTAATGATATGTTGAGTAACAAGCATTTTAATATGTAACAAAACTTATTCACAGATACTTAGAAAATCAAAAACTCCTTCTTGTATTATCTGATTTTTTTATATTCCTTAGTAACTCTGCTTATGACCAATGCTGTGAGTTCGCAGATCCATAAATGCGAAATATATATATATTTTAAAGATTTATTTATTTTTATTGGAAACTCAGATTTACAGAGAAAAGGAAACACAGAGAAAGATCTTCCATCTGCTGTTTTACTCCCCAAGTGGCTCCAACAGCCGAAACTGAGCCGATCCGAAGCCAAGAGTTTCTTCTGGGTCTCCTACATGGGTACAGGGTCCCAAGGTTTTGGACCATCCTCAGTTGCTTTGCCAGGTCACAGCAGGGAGCTAGAAAGAAAGTGTAGCAGCTGGGATATGAACCAGTGCCCATAAGGGATCCCGGTGCAGCTAAGGCGAGGACTTTAGCCACTAAGCTACCACACCAGGCCCAAATCCTATATATTTTTTAGTCATATGTATCTCTTTGTACTTACTGTAATGATTTTCTACCCATTTCAAATACAGGGGGGAAATCTAACTTAACCCTGAGATATTGCAACTCAGTCTTCAAAATACATTAAAAGTTCATTCTTGGAGTTTTTCATATGTAGAATTAAATATTAAATTGATTAAATAATTTCAGTGTGGAACTATAAAACGGTAAAATTTAAGAAGCACTCTATACTTAGAGACTTCTTTCAAAGATGAACTCATTTATTTTAATAAATTTCCTATTTACAATCTTTCAATGTACTAAATGTTACAAATTGCAAGAAGTGAGCAGAAACATTGGGTCAAAGGGACAAGATATATACACTTTGATGTATTGGTAAAAAGCCTTCCAAGAATGCTGTGTACATTGACATGGACAAAATTTTGAGAATATTTCTGGGCCAGGTGCAGTGGCCTAGCAGCTAAAGTCCTATCCTTGAACATGCCAGGATCCCATATGGGCGCCAGTTTTAATCCTGACAGCCCCGCTTCCCATCCAGCTCCCTGCTTGTGGCTTAGGAAGGCAGTAGAGGACGGCCCAAAGCCTTGGGACCCTGCACCTGCATAGGACACCCAGAAGAAAATCCTAGAAGAGACTTGGAAGAAGTTTCTGGCTCCTGGCTTTGGATTGGCGCAGCACCAGCCGTTGTAGTCTTTGGGGACTGAATCATCAGATGGAAGATCTTCCTCTCTGTATATCTGACTTTGCGATAAAAATAAAATAAATCTTAAACAAAAGAAAGAGAACATTTCTTACCCCATCTGTACTATGTGTATTACTAGTCTTTTTATTCATTGACAGAATTATAAGCAAAAAATACTTCATAGTCATAGTAGCTTCTATATCTTTTACTATTCGTATCTTCAGTTATGATTTTTTATATAGGCATTTTTAATTGCCTCTTTATGTCTTTGTCCATCTATTCAAATCTTTATTTACCTGTTTATTTATAAAATATTTCTCCCACATATTAATGTAAATAATTAAAGGTCTTGATGTATATCAGTATCTATTTATAGAGCAAATATACTCTATATTCATAAGTGAAGAAATCATGTTTCAGGTCGGGAATGATTATGTGGTTTCCTCTCGCTTTTAGTAGTGGCATGTGTGAGTATACGCAAGCAAAAATATGGGAAAAGTCCAAGTATATATAGACCACGCTCTATTTGTTTAGTAAGCATTATTAACACTTTCATTTCTAAGGAGGATAAGATGACTTTTTTTTTTCTCCTTCAGATCTTTCCATATTCTGATTTCTGCCTTTTGTTTTTTAGAATGATTATGATTTTTATGCTACTCCCTGAAGAAACAACTACAAGGCTATTTCAAAAGGTTTTAGCCTTATGGTCACGATGTTGTTTCCCATGGAGTGTGTGTTGTGTTGCAGCAGGCTGGCCACTGCTAGTGACACCAGTCTCCTACATGAGCCTGATTCAAGTCTAAGCTGTTCCTTTTGCTAACCAGCTCTGTGAATATGCCTGGGAAAACAGGGATGGCCCAAGTGGGAGACCCAGGTGCAGCTCTGAGCTATTGGCCTCAGCATGGCCCCAGACTGACCATTGCCAGCACTGGGGGGGAGAACCACTGAATGTTACATCTGTGTGGGTGTGTGGGTGTATTCCTTTTTCCTTTCTCCCTTCCTTCCTTCCTTCCTTCCTTCCTTCCTTCCTTCCTTCCTTCCTTCCTTCCTTCCTTCTCTCTCTCTTTCTTTCTTCCTTCCTTCCTTCCCTCCTTCCTTCCTTCCTTCCTTCTCTCCTTCCTTCCTTCTCTCTCTTTCTTCCTTCCTTCCTTCCCTCCTTCCTTCCTTCTCTCCTTCCTTCCTTCTCTTTCTTTCTTCCTTCCTTCCCTCCTTCCTTCCTTCCTTTCTTCTTTCTCTCCTTCCTTCCTTCCCTTCTTCTTTCCTTCCTTCCTTTTCTCCTTCCTTCCTTCCTTCCTTCCTCCCTTCCTTCTCTCTCTCTTTCTTTCTTCCTTCCTTCCTCCCTCTCTTTCTTTCTTTCTCTCTGTCTCTCTCCTTCTTCTTTCTCTCTCTCTCTCAAAATGCATCTTTTGAAAAATTTTGAAGATCTAAAAAAAGGTCTCTTACTGTCTTTCAAGTAAATCTTAAGGGAAAAAAAATGCTCCGTCCCAGTAAATGTGCTGCTGAAGTGCGCACCCCTCTGTCCCCAGCTCCTCTTGTCTCTAGCTTCCTGGTAATGCAGACAATGGCTCATAACTGTTTCTGCCACCCATGTGGGCGGCTTAGATTGCCTGGTCAGGCCCATTTATGGTCAATGTGAACGTTTGAGAAGGCCTGTGTAAGCATGGCTTACTGGGGCTCGTGGTTTGCTTCTCTCTGCCTTTCTGTGTCTCTCACTCTGCCTCTCAGAGCTTTAAAAAGAGGGTGAGGGGTTGTGGGAGTACCAAATTAGAAGACAATGTGTCCTTCCATGAACTTTTGAAGTACCCGTCTATTATTTTCAGATTTAAAGTAAAATGGGGAGGGGAGATGGGATGGCACACAAAAAAAATAATTACAAATTTTCTCTTTCTTAGGAAGTACTTCATTGGATACGTTTAGTGGCTTTCCTTTGGAAATTCAGATTCCATATGTGTTTTTTGCATCTGATGGACTTCTTAATACTCCAGAAATTCTTCAGTTGCTAGAATCCAAGTAGGCTATTGGTTTTCTAATCATAGTAAAGATGTATGCGTGTTCTGTCAGGCTCTATATTCAGCTCTATGTGGCCTTTTACCTCTCTGACTTAAGCCTGGAATTATATCACATAAGAATAGCTTTCCAGAGAATTTATATTGATTTGTACATCTTTTCTCTGTATTATACCTCATAATTATTGAATATCTTTTTTTTTACAGTATTTACTTAATTATTTAATTTATGCTTTGTATATGCTTCTTTTGTTACCTGCTAATATGATATTTTTTTTCCCTGGGAATTATGTGGGCCTATCTTTGATTGATGATAACATTGAAAATAAGTATTCTTGTCTAGGGGACATTTAAAAAAATATTTTATTTGAAATAAAGTAAAAAATTTAAGAATCTGTTTATGTGAAAGGAAAAGTAACTCAGAGAGGGAGAGGGAAAGAGAGCGTGCACATCCTGTTCCATCCGTGAGATGACTCCTCAGATGGCGGCACAGCCAGATCTGGGTCAGGCCAAACCAGGAGTCAGAAGCTCCATCCTGCTCTCCCACATGGATGACAGGGGTCCACGTGCTTGTGCCATCTTCCACTGGATCAAAAGCTGAGCAGTCAGAACTCAAGCCATCTACCTCCTATGGAATGCTGATGTCATCCTGTGGCCGCTAAACCCACACGCTACAACACTGGCTTCCCTGCTTAGGGAGACCTAAAACACCACCTGGGAAATCAAGACTGTGAAGTTCTAAATTGATTCTGCAGTTTGTAGACCTTTAGTGCTAAGATCATATGGATCCTATTTTGAATCATGAAATGCTTTTTATTTTAGCACACAACTTGTCACAGAAATGTTGGACCTTGGGCTGCATATTAAGGAAGGATAACTGGGCTGTGAACTTAATGAAATGCAAGTCTATGTGCCATGCTTTTGCTTTATATACCTTAAGGCTAGGGGAATTCATAGAAAACTATAATTATATAAAAGGTAGATAAATGTAGGTCAATTTCAAGGAAAAAGAAAATTATGGCAAATGTTCAATGTTTCAGCCTTGTAACGGTGCTTTGATTGCAAAAACTATTATTTAAGGAACTAATAAATTGGTCAAGACATTAATAATGGTATTATGTGAAATAATATTTAACACTTTGCCTTAGGGAACACATCTGAACTCATTTGTTTCATATGCTGAATAAATCATAATTTCATTTCTCAAGTTTATGAAATAAGATACATGAAAGGAAAAAGCATGGTGTTTCATGTACATTAGCATGCAGCAGGGCAATGCATCTTTTCTTGAAGAATTTTTCTTAGCTGTTTCATGTTTTCAAGAATCTTGTCTTTCACAGTTACAATATCCTATTGGTGGAGAGAGGCTGCAGTGAGTCATTGAAGCTCTTTGGAAGCACAGAGCATTATGCGGTGGTGACAGTCGATGAGCACACTGCCATCGTTTTGCAGGTAAAATTATATAGTAACAATATAAGCTTATATAAGCTGGTTATATATATATATGTGTGTGTATATATATATATAACCAGGACGCTCACCTTAACTTATTATGACTTCTTTTAAACCTTGTAAGTAGCTTGCAAATGCTAGAATCATCAATGTAGAAAACTGATTACCAAGGTCTTTTGATGCCTTATAATATATAACATTTTTAAAAAGCAAATACTTAATATTATATGTTGACTATTTTATTTTTTTTTTTTAAAGATTTATTTTTATTATTTTTTATTGGAAAGGCGGATATACAGAGAGGAAGATCTTCCATCCGATGATTCACTCCCCAAGTGAGCGCAACGGCCAATGCTATGCCGATCCGAAGCCAGGAGCCTCTTCCGGGTCTCCCATGTGGGTGCAGGGTCCCAAAGCCTTGGGCCGTCCTCGACTGCCTTCCCGGGCCACAGGCAGGGAGCTGGAAGGGAAGCGGGGCTGCCGGGATTAGAACCGGCGCCCATATGGGATCCCGGGCGTGCAAGGCGAGGACTTAACCACTTGCGCCACCGCGCCGGGCCCATGTTGACTATTTTAAAAAGCAAATATAAGGGGCTGGCATGGTGGTATAGCAGGCTAATCCTCTGGCTATGGTGCCAGCGTCCCATATGGGTACAGGTTCAAGTCCCAGATGTGCCATTTCCAGTCTACTCTCTTCTTATTGCCTGGGAAGAGAGTGGAGGATGGCCCAAGACCTTGGAACACCTGCACCCATGTGGGAGATCCAGAGGAAGCCCCTGGCACCTAGCTTCAGATTGCAGCCATTTGGGGAGTAAACCAGCAGATGGAAGATCCTTCTCTCTGTCTCTTCCCCTTTTTCTTAAGATTTATTTTTTTATGGAATTTATTTAAGATTCTTCTACGAGATTTATTTATTTATTGTGAGATTTTATTTGTTTGTGTTTTGTTCACATTTTATTTTATTACAAGAGCTATGTATACAGGAGCTGAATGATCTGTGGGGCAGACTGGACCAATATGCTGCACATGCTGGCAGGCACAGGAACGAGGGCTGGGATTGGTCCCAGTGGGGGTTATTGGAGCTCACTCTAACTGGCCTGTGGTTCACATTGGTGGACGTGAGGGCCAAGCATGTGTTGGGAAGGGTTGGGCTGGGCTGCAGCACCCATTGGTTTGCGTAAGAGACCAGACAGGAGATAGATCTGACCTGGCGATTACAACTATCAGTGGTGTGTGTAGGCTGATGTGGGTGACAGAATGAGCTGGATCCCATACTGGTGGATGCACGCAAGAGTCAAGTCTGAAATCACCTAAGACAAGATATCTTTGAGGATCTCCCAATTAAACTGCTGCACTCAAAACTCCAACCATGGGGAAAATAGCAGAACCTATGGTCTGACCATGGAGGGCATGTGTCAGAACTGGGCCTCCTTGATGGCTAAGATGGAGCAGTGGATGGTGTACCCAGAAGCACATGGAGGATATGGGAACACATTGGGATCAACAGAAGACATCTGGTGCTATAGTGGAGGAAGAAAAGAAATTGGTCAACTACCCCAGCCAAGCTTTGACTGCAGATATTTGTGTGAATGGAAACTCTCGGGGTGGACTGTGATAATAAATGGAAGGATTTCCATTTGGAAGGATTTCCTCATCCTTGAATTCAATCACTAGGCTATCACTCTGGGGCCTGTCTGTAACTGACTTTCAAGTAACGTAAATAAATCTCTAAAAAATAAATAAAGGATAATTGTAGCATTGAAAACTTTAAAAAGCAAATCTCAACCACTGTATAATTGATCATTGGTAATATGGAATTTCCTCTACAGTAAATAGGAATTTCCTCTAAGCTAGTTTTATTTTTAAAGATTTACTTATTTGTTTGAAAGGCAGGTAAAGACAAGGAGTGACAGAGAAAGGGAACAAGTTCTCCTGGATGCTGGTTCATTTCCCAAATAGCTGCAACAGAGGCTTCTGGCTGAAGTGAGAGGCCTCCATCCAGGTTTTCTGTATGGCAGGAAAGGGCCCATGCCCCTGGAGCATCTGCTTTCCAAGGTGCATGAACAGAGAGCTGGATCGGAGTGGAGTAGCTGGGACCCCAATCAGTGTTCATATGGGAGGCAGTCGTTGCAAACTGTGTCTGACCTGTTGTGACTCCATACAGGTCACAGTAAGCTGGATTCTAAACAGAGAAACTCTCTTAATATCCACACAGTTTAGAGTTTCAGATAAGTAAATTCTTGGCTAAATCTTTGTGGTATATTTGCACCAGTTGCAAAGAAATTAATCTGATTGGGGTGGGGAACAGATTGGATGGTTTGGTGCTACACAGTGAAAGTTAATGGCAAACGTGGTAGTGTGCAAATCGGATTTGTCCAGCAAATGTTTCTGTGTAAGAATTACAAGATGGAAAAATACAGCTCTGAGAGGTTCCTAAGAGGTACTGCTTTGGATATTTAAATTTCTTAAACAATTCTTTTTCTGTTTGTCAGAATTGATTTAAACCATAGTTATATAGCTTATTTTAAGAGGAAAGACATTTACTGAATTACTACTCTATCAAAAATCACTTGTGTTAAAGGAATAGGGAATACCAGTTCATTAGGTAATGAAGTTATATTGTTAACTGTTATTTTCTCAATTCTCTAGAATAAACGTGCAGGGGAAATTATCCTATAGTTTTTAAAATATATTTTCTTTTGCCTTTGGAGTAGCCAGATCCCCTTGCCAAAATCAGGTTATTTTGTAGGCTGTTTTTTTCCATATCTAGGATGTTGGGAGATCCTTGAGCCTTACACACAGAAGCTACCATTAGTGGTAGTCTGTCTACTGTGGCTTTTTCTCCTATCATTTCTTGTGTGATTTTAATTTTTCTGTGTAATGGGGAGCTGGACCTATATGGATTTTTTTCCCAGATTGCTATTTATATATTATTCCTAAATAATAATAATAATTTTGTAACAGCTAATAAATTATTTACTTTCTGATAGAACCTAGAAGAACTGAATTATGAGAAGGCATCAGACAATATCATTATGAGACTCATGGCTTTGTCATTTCAATACAGCTATTGTTGGCTAATTTTATATAAAAAAGAAACAATAAATTCTGAGTAAGTAAACATTTCTTCACCCAAAGTCATATTCATAATTCTTGAATTATTCAGTCTTATTTTTGTATAGAAATAGCAATGCAAATTTTTTGCTGCTCATCTGGTTTAAATCAAAGAGCCTCAAAATGGAGGAATGCTCACAAGAAAATCAAGTGTGATTTGGGGGCTGATACATGTCCCATCCCTATCTCACTAAGAAATGCTGTATAAGATGCTCTATTACTTAGAAATTCTAGACTTGTCTTCTAAAGAAAGAATTTAACCTTAAGTCTGAAAATCTGATAGATAAGCTAAATATCATATTCCTATGCTTCTTTCTTATTGATGCGATTAAATGAAAAAGTATTAAAATAATCCATTTCAAAACACTGACTCAAGTAGTCGGCATGTTTCTCTCTTTTCCCATATCTCCGACTGTTGCTAGACCAAATACTCTTTCTCCTTTTCTCCCCTGCCATCGGCTTTTCTCTCTGCCTCTACCCTGATCCCTGTTACTCAAAGCTCATTCATAACTTTCTTATAATCATCTCAAAAACTATCTCCGATCTTTCACTGCTTTTAGGTATTTTAATATGGTTTATTATAACATTTAATATGTATTATTTTAATATATTTATACATTTAGTAATAAATAAATAAATAAATGATTTATATACTTTTAACATAATATATTTCTAACCTGTTCATAAGGCAGGTTGGCAAGCAGAGATCTATCCACTGGGTTAATTCCAAATGCTCACAGTACCCATGGGTGGGTCTGCCCAGACTCGGGGTGTGAGGGGTGATCAGGACCTCAGTCCTCATCTCCCACGTGGGTGGTAGGAACCCAAGGCACTAGAACCATCACTTGCTGTCCCTGAGGGTATGTGTTACTTTTAATCACTAAGTCTGGAAAACAGTTTTGTAGATTTAAACATCAATTCCCTCCCTCCACTTATTAACAGTGTTTCAGTTCAGAATGTCATATTTTATGTGATATTTTATAAGAGACTGTTTTTTTCTCACCCCCAGTTGCCTCTTGATATTCCTCTCTTCAATCTGTCATATAGTCAGTCAGTCAGTATTTCTAAAATAAAGCTGATTCTTTTCTGTATGTTAAGAGGCCTTCACTGATTCCTCTTCATTTATTAAATGCATATGTGCTATCCGCCTTAATGTTCAAGGCATTCACTTAAAATGTCAACCAAGATTGGGAAGGAAAGTACCTGAACTCAATAGTCAGGACCAGAAAGCACCCGATTCCAGTTTTCTCCCAAAGTAGACCCAGAGAGGCATCGGTGATGGTTTAAGGAAGTGGTTCCTGCCACCCAAGTGAAGAAGGGGATTCAATTCCTGGCTCAAGGCTTTGGCCCACCCCAATCTCGATGACTTTGAGCCCTTGGATGCAATAGTGCCTTCCCCAGGACTAATTAGTAACACGAACGAATATTTTGTGTGTTGGCGAAGAGTATATGAAGTAAACCTAATAGAAATACCACCCACAGCTCAGTGCTCACTCTGGACTATGTAATGGCTATAGACCGGTGAGTCTAGTTCAGGAATAAGACCCAAAGTAGATTCCAGGTATCTTGTTTTTAGTCATGTGTCATATCTGAGTCTGACTGTTGGGATGGAGTATTTTAGTTGGTTAGGTCTTGTCACAGCTGTAGTGGGATCAATGGAGAAATGGGCCAGATTACTCCCACACTCCCACACCTCGCCCAAGCTCATGTCCTCAACATCTGCTAGCTTTAATAGTACTATTAAAGAAAGAAGGTGGAAATCATTGTTCAAGAGTCCACTATCTTGCGCTTTAGCCAGGTTATTCTAGTAATATTACCAAACACAGGAAACAAAATGAATTTTTAATACAATCAGATATAAACTGGGTAGAAATATAGTAAAAGAATTCTTTTTAGGTACCATCTTACAGAAAAGACACTTCATCATCTAGCACTGATATATGCAGCTTTGGTTTCATCCGGGCTAAAATCTGCAGAACTGGATGTAAAGGTATTCTTTTCCAGTACATTTGTTTATAAGTATTTTTCACAAATGAAAATGCCACTCAAATGTATTTGCCTGCTTGGGAGGAACATCAAATGGGTAAGTGAAAAATTTCCTAAAAGCCCAATTAGGAACAATTTCTAATTAATATCCTTACCACCTAAGATTCTATTCTAAAAGCTTTTAGTTTAATTACTGCTTAAAATGTTTTAAAAGCATGGCAGGATATGGTTTAAAATAAATAGCCCTTTATCATAAATGTTCCTTATGAAAAACATACTAAGCTTTTATCTGTTATATAATGGAAATCTTTTGACATGCCAGGACTCAGTACTCTTCCGTTACCACTTTACACTGCTTCCTTTATAGACTCAAACATACGTGTGTGTAACTTTCATTCCGAGCATAATTCTCTCACTCTCTGTCTCTCTTTGCCTTTCTAATAAATAACTTTTTACGAGGTGTTGTAATAAATAACTCGTTACAAGGGGGTAAATAGTTACTGACAGCAAGTGAAGGCTATTAGAAAACTCCTTTTTAGAGTTAGGTTTATACTCCTTGTGCCTCCCCACCCCAGTGTTAATGGTTAGTATGTCTTAGACTCCAATAAACCAAAATTAATGAACGATTATTAAAATACTGGAAATGACTATTTTTAGATTTATTTTTATTGATTTGAAAGGAAGAAAAAGGCAGGAGAGAGAGAGAGAGCTTCTGTCTGTTGGTTCGCTCCTCAAATGGTTGCAACAGTTAGGGCTGAGTCAGGCAGCATAAAGCAGCTTGGAGCTTCTTCTGGCTCTGCCACCTGTGTGCAGGTGCCCAAGCACTTGGGCCATCTTCCACTGCCTTCCCAGGCACAGCAGCAGGAAACTAGAAGGGAGTGGAGCAGCCAGGACCCAAACTGGCCCATATGTGATGCTGACTCATCAGAACTCAGCTTAACACACTGTACCACAGCAGCAGCCCTGAATGAATACTTTAAATCAAAATCTTATTTTTTGGGCCCAGTGGTGTGGCCTAGCGGCTTAAGTCCTTGCCTTGAACACCCCGGAATCCCATATGGGCGCCGGTTCTAATCCTGGCAGCTCCACTTCCCATTCAGCTCCCTGCTGTGGCCTGAGAAAGCAGTCGAGGACAGCCCAAAGCTTTGGGACTCTGCACCCATGTGGGATACCTGGAAGAAGTTCCTGGATCCTGGCTTTGGATCGGCATAGCATCGGCCGTTGCGCTCACTTGGGGAGTGAATCATCGAACAGAAGATCTTCTCTGTCTCTCCTCCTCTCTGTATATCTGACTTTCCAATAAAAAAATAAATAAATAAATCTTTTGAAAAAATCTTATTTTTTTTAAATATGACATCAAATTCACTTGCAAGTATCCTTTTTTCTTCTTTAACATTTTCTTTCAAACTGGATTTTAATGTACAAAGTATAGTCTAACTTTTTTGAAAAATTTTGTGCCATACTTTAAAATTTTCTTTCAATTAACTATAAAAGCAAAATATTAGATATTATATTAAAATTATTGCTCTATTATAGATGAAATATAACACTAAATATATGAAAAAACTATTAATAAATGCCAAAATGTGAGGAAAAATAATTTAGTTACAAAAAAATTGGAAACACAAGTATGTAATGTTTAAAGAAGGAAAGAAAAGTGACAAGCCTCACAAATGAATGTCTTGATTTCATGTACATCATTCAATTATATTTAATATAGTGTTAAGAATTAGAATCTGCCACTTAAAATTTTATTTTCTGACTAAAGACTATTTTTGACAATTTTTTTTGTAATCTAGCATGTAAAAATATGTTTTTTAGCTTATAATTGCCCCAGGAGTAGAAGAAACTGCATTGATAATTCGACAAATTGCTGACTACAGTTTAATGACCTCCAAGAGAGAGCCTCATGATTGGTTGAATAAATCCTGGCTTGAAATTTCACCATCTAAGGTTTGTTTCCTAAATGTATAAGCCAGATATTTACAAAGTAAATACAAATAAGGGCTGTTCTGAAGGTTGATAGAAAAACACAAACCACCTTAAAAAAAGCATAAATTTCACATTTTTTTACACCAAACTTATCTTTTAATTCCGTTTTTCCTTGAGCTTTATCCATGTGTTTGAGATTCCTTTCTATTAACAGTTTTGGTCCAGGTGTCTTAATTTTGGCTGGGTGGGATGACAAAAATTTTAATCTGCTGGAGTAGAATAAAATGATATTCTTTAAACTCTTTTCTAGGAAGAACTGTATTTACTTGATTTCCCCAGTATTAGCCCACTGGTGGCTCAGCTCATGTTAAATAAAGGCTCTTCCCTGCATGGGCTGTTATTAGCGAATCTGTGTCAGCTTCAGGAAGCTCTCCCTGAAGTTCCAGAAAAAGTGTTAAAGGTCAGTTATTTGAAATTCATATTCCTGTGTAAGTTTCTGTCCTTTCCATTTGAGAATCTATTTTAACCACAGAATTTTCAAGATTAAAGTATACAAATTTCATTGTTTTGGCTTCCATGAAGCAAAAAAAAATAATAATTTACATAAAATGAGTTTCACATAGCATTCTCATTGGCTATCAACCACATATATTCTAAAGGTATTTCACCTAGACGTTCAGTTAGGTTACCACACTTTAAGTTATTTTGAAATATTGTGCCATGAATAGTAAATTATGCATCCTATTTACATGTGTTTACCTTTCCTCTCCCAAACATTCCTGGGGACCTTTAGTAGAGAGGACTTTAGTCTTACTGCCACCATTTTAATGAAGGAGTATTTATGCGTAACTTTTGTAACTAGAAATTCTTTTACACTTGCTGTGAACCTATCACTGTTCTAAAAAAAAAGACAATTACTATTACCTATATAAGTGATTAGAAAACAGACGAAAATTATGTTTTTATTTATGTTCTTAATATTTATAAACATTTTAATAAAATGTTCTATTTTGTTTTTAATACATGGACCAACGTAGTATATCTATGCATATACTATTTATGTATATTTTAACTTCTTTCCTTGTAGATAAACATAATTATTTGAATTTACTGAACCAATTAGTAGTAGTGTATTTACTAATTTTTAAACTTTTTAGCATTTTTGCAGCATCACTTCCTTGTTCAAGATTAATTCCTCCACAACAGAATCACCTCAAATTTCATTACCTCAGGAAGACCGGAATCAGATCAGTGACCTTACTTCTCAGAGTTTACCTTCCAACTCTTCAGACTCTACCACTGAACAATACAATGCCTTTTACCAATATTCAGATCCAGGGGCCAGAGTGCTGGAAGACACAGACACCACTTCAACTTATAATATTTCCCACGTGGAGTTAAGAAAAATGTCTCCCATTTTATCATCTGCAGGTTCTTATAATCAGAACAACTACTGGAAAGACTTTAGTTGTAGACCTGACATAATCCCAAATAATCCTTGTCTAATTAACATGGAACCAAGGAGAGCAGCTTGTAGGTCATTTCTAAACCGGAATGATTCAGATTCAGATGTCTTTTCTTTGGGTCAAACGCAAGTCAGTTGTGAAGATGCAGTGCCACCAATTGACTGTCAGAAGGGAGCTGCCCCTTATTTTACAAATTATCAGAAAAAGCAAATACAGGAAGCCAAAGGATCCACAAACAAGGAAGTATTTCCCCCCATCTTTTCACTAATGGGCTATCAGTCTCCTTCTCACTTGAACTTTAAGAAAAATGCACGGGAACCACAGACTCACTCATTCAACTTGCACTATGGCTTGGAACAGACTACATGGAATGAGTGCTGCTTTCAGCCAGATCAACCGAAATATCGCTTGCAGGAGTCAGAAGACTTCACATGGCAAAGGCCAGATGCTGGGATTCAAAGGACTTCCAGGGGAGGCTTCCCGTCCCTTCCCAGTTTAGATTTTCCCCATGCTTCTGATTCTAATGTCAATCAAAAAGAATTCAATAACATTTCTTTATACCAAAGAACTGGAGAATATTTAGGTCAGAAAAGACATCTTGAAAGTTCATCTGACTCAGGAGACAAGGAAGCACTGACAGGTAACACTATGTAATAGGTGCTAAAACTACTCTCAAATTAATTTTGATAGAACTGTTTCCAAATTAAGAGAAAAAATTATAATTACCACATTTTAAATTGTATAAAAGGATTAAAGAGAAAATCAAAACTTTGGGGTCCAGAAAAATAAACACAAAGATCTAATTGCTTTTAAGAATGTGTTTAAACATAAATATTTGCTTGAGAGGTAGGTAGATAAACAGAACAATTGGTTCAGCAGCTGCCCCAGCCAGGTCTGGCATGTGAAAGTTGGGAGCCTTACAACTCAGCAGAACTCAGTCTAGGTCTCTGGTGGGGGTGAGCTTCCCAACGTGTGTTGGAACCCAAGTGGAGTTGTAATTTGTCCCCAGGTACATCTGATATTGGATGCAGGCATCCCAACCAGCAGGCCAACACCTGCCCCAAATGAACTTAACGATGCATTAAAGAAGCTAAAAAAAAAAAAAATAAATAACAAATCTAAGTAAACTAAAATAAACAAAGATTAATCAGACTAATGGGGGAATTTTTTAAAAAGCTATTTGTGGGCATGTGTATTTAATTGCCTGGTGTTCATTAAGAATTTATGATGAAGGCAGGCATTGTGGCACAGCCAGCTAAGTTGCTCTGCGCAGTGTCCACATTGTGTATCAGAATGCCTAATTTGAGACCCAACTACTGTGCTTCCAACTCGGCTTCCTGTTAATGTGGCTGGGATGATTTCTTGAGTAGTTGTTTCTGCCACCAATGTGGGAGATCAAAATGGAGTTCCTGATTACTGGATTCAGCCTGGCACCCAGCCTCAACTATCACAGGCAATTCTGGAGTGAACTAGAAGATGGAAGATAGCTCTCTCTGTGTCTCTGTGTCTCCCTTTTCCACTCGCCTGTCACTCTACCTTTCAAATCAATCTTTTTTTTTTTTTTAAGAAAATAAACAAATGTATTAGGTGCCAGCCTAGTCCTCCATCCTTTATGTGGATTAGTCCTAACAAGTCTGTTAGGTACTACTCTTAGCTTAATTTAGATGGATGTTTTAAACTACTGAATTTGTAGTCACTTTTTAAAATTATGTTTTCCCAAAGTTATTGATTACACCTTTTCTTTCTGTGTATTAATCTGATCACCCACAACAAATATAAAGTTCTAATGTCATACAAATAGGATTGTGCCATGCTGGCAACAAAAGAGGTGGAGGAAGTGAAAACTTAAGCTCCAAGGATTCTCTTTTGCACAGTTCCTTTACTTTTTGTGAGACACACAAGGAGCCCAGACATGCTTGTACTTTTTATTTTATTGGAAGAAAAATCTTCCTCATTTCTTAAACTTAAAGGGTAGAGGAGCAAGATCTTCCATCTGCTGGTTCGTTTTCCAGATGTCTACCACATGCACTGCCTGAAACTCACTCCACATCTCCCCTGTGGAGGCAGGAGCCCAGGGACGTGGGCTGTCTCCTGCTGCTTTCCCAGGTCTGCGAAGTAGAGTAGCAGGACTTGAACCAGTAGTCCAGTACGGCATACCAGTGCCTCAAGCTGCAGTTTAGTCCTCTTCAATTATTTTCAAAACAGTGTTATTCAAACATTTACATGAATCTTTGATATTATTATTTAATCATCATTTTGGTAAATTTGACTTATCTACTGTAACTTTCCACAACACATCATTACCTGTAACTACATTGTTAAAGATGGAACACTGGAAAATATGTTTAGGCTATTGACAACCTCTAGATAATTTTCAGTCTGTCCTTTTGCTGTACTCTGGTGCTCTCTGTGACATAATTCCTGCTACATCGCTGTATAAACTTGCTTATAGGCATCCAGCTCTTTCAGTTAAAAGACTATATCCCCAGCAATAGGTACTAAGGCTGTATTAAACTTTTTAATATCCTTTTTTTCATGGATTTAATCAAATGACCTTTGTAAGTATTCAAGTCTAGTATATTCAGGCTAATGTGTCAGACATAATAATATATAAGGTTAATGTCCATGTTACCATCACCTATCTTGCTCAAGGGTTTAGAACACTTTCTAAATTATAGGTTAAGGCACATGGTTAACATGGTAGAGCTTCAAAACCAAGCTTAAATGGTATATTAAAGGGGTGAGCGTGGCATGGCACGTAAGGCACCACTTGGGATGCTTACATCCCATATCAGGGCATCTGGGACTGAGCCCCACCTCTGCTTTTAAGTCAGCTTCCTGCTAATAAATTGGAAAGGCAACAGATGGCAGCCCAAGGACTTGGTTCCTGCCACCCACACCCAGCCCATCTGTTTTGGGCATTTGGGGATTAAATCAGCAATGAGAGAGCTCTGTTTCTTTCCCTTTTTCCTCCTGTCACTCTGCCTTTCAAGCAAGTAAATGTTTAAAAAGTAAAACTGTATAGGAAAGATTGGGATGAGTGCTGGATGTAAACTTCTACATAATTTTTCAGTATGGTGGTCTAATCATTACTTTAAAAATTACTTACTCTTGTATTATAATTTGAATTTTTCCTCAATCCAAGAGTAGATTTTGTTTAAATGTTGACTTGATAAAACATTTATTATTTTAATTTTAACTGCATTTTGATTATTTTTAACTCATTACTTCCATTTAGTTAGGATAACTGCATTTTGGCAAGGATGTACCAAGTTTCGCTCACATTGTGAGGCTGCTGTCACTTCTGTGAAGCTCGTTGGGACATTTTGAATTAGCTCACTTTGGATTTGTGGGTGCTCTATGATGAAATCTTATATTGGATAGCAATATATGGATATCTATACATAAATAGTATATGGATAATAAATGGAAATTAGATGCAGAAGATAAATATTTCATGGGAAAGCTTTCTGGTAGGTTTAGAAAAATTGAAATATTGTCAGAAATTTTATAATTAGTTGAAAAGTATTGATATCTGGGTACCAATACAGTCTACACATATTATATTGAAAGGTGTAAATCAGTCATAATGGGAGTCCTTTTAAAACATATATATATATTTATTTTTATTTGAGAGGTAGAGTTAGAGATCTTCCATGTGCTTGTTTGCTCCCCGTGTTGCTGCAGTGGCTGGAGCTGGGCTGCTCCAGAACTAAGAACCAGGAGATTCCTCTGGGTTTCCCTGGTGGTCTTAATACCACAGAAATCAACAAACACTGCCTATCAGGCTTTCACTCCTTCTCTTTCTTGTTACCCCAAGAGCTGGTTATTAAACATTTAATAGCTTGCTGCTGGGGCCAGCACAGGCTGTCCTAAGCTGCACAGTGTGGAACCACTCTCCTATCTATTCCCCTGTGTTTTGTCTGATTATTCTTGTTTGTAAACATACCAAATATGAATTTTCAGACAGATTCCTAAGAATATGACTCCCCAAAAGATTAGAGAATTTAAATGTATGAGAATAATCAATTGAAAAAATCTATAATCAGGAATAGGAAAGGCAAACTAAAACCAAAACAGAAAACCCGGCCGTCTTACATATCGCCGTCACGGACAGACTCAGAGAAGGTCACAGAACCGTAACTCAGTGCGTTAGATGCAGCGGCCACAGGGAACTTGGATGTTAATTAATGAGGGTGTATTAGAAACCTTCCGATATATCACAGAGCCCTCTTCGTCTTATTATATTATTATAGGAGAAAACTCAGGGCGGTGGAGGGGCATGGAGAGGGTGGGAGAGGAAATCCCTGAGCCTACAGGATTGTATCATGAAAAAATAAAATTAAAAAAAAAAAATTGAAGTTCTGAGAGATGTTTGTACAAGGCGTAGGCATACAAATACATGTCATTTAGCACTGGTTTCTAATACTGGATGATTAAAGTACTGGTGCATTTATGATTAAAATGTTGCTTTTAATTGTCACTGTGTCCCAAATTATAAAGTTTAACACTTCAAGATAGTTGTCAAAGAGGATCTACATGAATAGCTGGGGGAAGATTATATTTTATTATTATAAGCAAGAAAATAATTTTTTCTTTTCATCCTTTTAACAGGTTTCATGTACCCACAATTAGCACAGTTCAAGAAGCGACGTCTCACGTATGAAAAAGTCCCTGGGAGAGCTGATGGACAAACCCGGCTGAGATTTTTTTGAAATGCAGAAAGGGCAGAGAGATTCATCCCACATTCTACTGGTTGTGGTGAAAGTTCCTTGGAAAAATTATTTTATTTTCTCAGACGTTAAAGAAAATGCTATTATTAAATGTTCTCAGTGTTAACACGCTGTCACATTTACTGCTTTAGGGCTAGCATCTCAGTAAGATTTCTAACGTACCAATTAGCATAATAATCATTATAAGAATCAGAGTGGCTTCCAGATTCACAGGAACATTACAGCCTTTAAATCAGTCATCGTCACAGTTCGACTCCTGAGGATTACCACAGGCAACCTTACTCCACCAACAGGCTGAAAGCCTAGGGCCACACTGAAGGTGGAGAGTTTGCAATTAAAAAAAAAATGTTGTTTATCTGAGAGACAGGGAGAGATCTTTCTTCCACAGGTTCACTCCCCAAATGCCTACAACAGCCACAGGCTATAACTTCACCCAGATCTTCTGCATGGGTTGTGTGGGTAGTTGGAGTCCAAATACTTGATTGGAGTGGGTAGTTGGAGTCCAGATTATCTCCTGCCTCCCAGCGATGCATTAGCTGGTAACTGGATCCAAAGCCAAGTAGCTGGACTTGAACTGGTAGCTGGACTTGAACTGGAACTCTGACGTGGGTGTCCCAAATTGGTGGTTTCAACTTGCTGCATCACAACAGCGACCACTAGTCTATTCCTTAAGGCTCTGATAAGACTGCTCCTAAACTAGAGAGTTGAAACCTCATCTTGGTAAGGTGAAGGCATCCCTGCTGGGCCTACAGCTGTTGCAGATTGATCTGCTGCCTGTGGTACTAGCATCCCATATGGGAACTGGTTCAAGTCCTGGCCACTCCACTTCTGATGCAGCTGCTTGCTAACGTACCTGGGGAAGCAGTGGAAAATGGCCCAAGTCCTTGGGTTTCTGCACCCATCTGGGAGACCTGGAAGAAGCTCCTGGCTCCTGGCTCCAGGCCAGCTGTAGCCATTTTGAGGAGTGACCAGCAGTTGGAAGATTTCTGTCACTCTGTCTCTCTCTCTATGTCTTTTTCCCTCTCTTCTCTCTGTTACTGTCTTTCAAATCAATAAGTCAATAATGAAGGCTTCACTGCTTGCCAATAGCCTTTATCCCATAATTCATCACCTTCCATAGAAGAGGCGTTTTACAGGCCACAGATTGGGGCTGTCAGCAGAAGTTCATGTTACTTGATGCAACACTACACTTATGGGATTCGAAATCCATGTATCTGATAGACATAAAAGTATTCTGTATGTGTTTGGTTTTATATGTGAAGTCACCTGTCAGTCAGAGCACCATTAACATAGATGGAGCTGATTTTTTTTCCTTCCCCTTTTTACTGAATCTATAGTGATACTCCAGTCGCAGTCTCTGTGTGTGTGTGTGTGTGTGTGTGTGTTTGTGTGCAGTTTCTTAAGAAACTCTACAGTTGGGCCCGGCAGCGTGGCCTAGCAGCTAAAGTCCTCGCCTTGAATGTTCCAGAATCCCATATGGGCGCCAGTTCTAATCCTGGCAGCTCCACTTCCCATCTAGCTCCTGCTGTGGCCTGGGAAAGCAATCAAGGACGGCCCAAAGCCTTGGGACTTTGCACTCATGTGGGAGACCTGGAGGAAGTTCCTGGCTCCTGGCTTCGGATCGGCATAGCATCAGCCATTGCGCTCACTTGGGGAGTGAATCATTGGATGGAAGATCTTCCTCTCTCTCTCTCCTATCTGTATATCTGACTTTCAAATAAAAATAAACTAAATCTTTTAAAAATAAATAAAGCCAAAATGTTCATATCCCACTTCGAGTGCTCGATCCCATAAGGAAAGAGCAACCCATGAAACTTTGAACAAAATCAGACACAAAATGTTGTTGTCATAGAAAGTGACTAATTAAACAGAAATTTTTATTTCCAAGCTCTTCAAACATAATTACAAACACAAGTATCCTAGAAGTGTCCCACATTAAATCAAAGGCACATCATCAAAGTAGAACATTTCTGAATGAAGAATTACTTTAGGTTATAATATTTTCACATTAATTTGTTTTTAACAATTTGCAATGCTCTATACACAGACCAAACTTTAAACATTATTAAAGGTATGGAGTAATACACTTTTTTAAAAGTTCCTCTACAATTATAAATAAACTTAAGAAGACAAAAATAAAATCTGTGTCAACCACAGAATGGGGCAACCTAATACACAGAACACTGATCTTTCCAAACAGATTTGCTATGATGTATCTACCACATTTAGTGTTAAAGTGTAACAATCTTCTCAGAAAATCAACATAATTTGGTTAGTAAGGCCTACTGTGTCCCCTAATTTTATGCTTGGTTAACTTAGTGAATATAAATTCATAAGAATTTTGTTATGGTATAAAAATCTTACAAATACTCATTTTTAAACAAAAATGTTTTTCTTTCTACGATGCAAATGTGTAGTGTATAAAACCATTCCAGGTTCAGAATTACCAGTCATTCACTTATGAAAAACATGTGACTGGTGTGTTGGGTGGAAAGGGTTCTGCTTTTCTTGATATAAAACACTTCACCAAATGAATCAGGCCATTATTATTTAAAACTCACTCAGTTTCCTTAACTGAGTGCAAACTCCTGGATTTCCGAGGACCTTGTGAGGGACCGAGCCACGGGGAAGGTCTGCCATGTCTACAAACCATTTGGCCAGAGTGTTTTCTGGGGATGTGGAGGCAGTGGTCATCACTTCTTGCTTGAAGGCCTTCCCCACTGAACTTCTTTCCTACTGGAGAAAGAATGGTTGGTTTTCAGTTGAGTAATGATTTACTCGCGAATTAACTATTCATCATGTCACAGGGCACTTTAATATCCACACGGTAGGAAATAGCAGGTTAATTTTAAATTCCAAATTCCAAATCATACAAAATACTTTGTAAAAGCGAAATGCTAGGCAAAAACAAGAATAGTATTTTAATACCCATTTCCACTAAAAGGCACAATCTTACCTGACAGTAGTATTTCTTTTTCAGTGTGAAAAATTTGTTCTTGCAATTATGTGAAAAAGGACACTAAGATGATTACTTACCATATAAACTAAACACGTAATTTTAAATATTTAGACTCCTAATAATCCATGCTCTTGACCATCTTTAAAAAAAAAAAAAACAGCAAAAGGGCTGATACTATGGCAAAGCAAGTTGCCCCATGGGACTTCTGCACCCCAGAACAGAGCCCAGGTTTGAGACCAGGCAGCTCTATTTTCTTAAGATGCCTGGGAGGGCCTGGCGCAATAGCCTAATGGCTAAATCCTTGCTTTGCATGCTCCAAGAACCCATGTATGCAGTGGTTCGTATCCTGACTGCTCCACTTTCCTTCCAGCTTCCTGCTTGTGGCCTGGGAAAGCAATGGAAGATGTCTCAAAGCCTTGAGACTCTGCACCTGCATGGAAGACCTGGAAGAAGTTCCTGGCTCCTGGCTTCATATTGAATTGGATCAGCTCTGGCTGCTGCTATCACTTGGGGAGTGAACCAGCAGATGGAAAATCTTTCTCTCTGTGTCTCCTCCTCTCTGTCAATCTGACTTTCCAATAAAAATAAGACAACCCAAACAAACAAAAACCAGAAGCCTGGGAAAGCAGGAAAAGAAGGACTGAGTGCTTGGGCCCCTGCCACACATGAAGGAGACCCAGAGAGAGTTCTAGGCTCCTGGCTCTGGTCTGCCCAGGCCCCGGACATTGTAGCCTCTGGGGAGTGAAGCAACAAATGGAAGATGTCTTTTTGTCTCTACCTCTCCTTCTGTCACTCTGCCTTTCAAATAAATAAATCTTAAAGCAGTGAAAATGTGAATAATGCCTTAAAACAAGGCACTGGACACCATGCAATTTCTGGTATGTTAGCTCAAAGTGTTTTCAGTTATCTTTTTAAAAGCTTTATTATTTTTTTTTTGGAAAGACAGATTTTTACAGAGAGAAAAAGAAGTCTTTCACCTGCCAGTTCACTTCCCAGATGATCACAAGGGCTGATCTGATCCAAGGCTTCTTCTTCCAGGACAACCATGTGGGTGCAGGGTCCCAAGGCTTTGGGCCATCCCCCACTGCTTTCCCAGGCCATAGTAGGCAGCAGGATGGGAAGGAGAGCAGCTGGGACATGATCTGGTGCTCATATGGGATGTTAGCACTGCAAAGTGGAGGATCAGTCAGTTGAACCATCACACCAGCTCCAGTTATAAAGATTTGTTTCTTTTTATTGGAAAGATTTATAGAAAGAAGGAGACAGAGAGATTTTCCATCCACTGATTTAATCTCCAAGTGGCCACAACAGCTGGAGCTGAACTGATCCAAAGCCAGGAGCCAGGAGCTTCTTCTGGGTCTCCCACATGGGTGCAGGGTCCCAAGGCTTTGGGCTGTCCCCGACTGCTTTCCTAGGCCACAGTCAGGGAGCTGGATGGAAAGTAGAACAGCCAAGACACAAACTGGTGCCCATATGGAATCCTGCTGCGTGAGAGGCAAGGACTTCAGTCACTGGGTTATTATGCCAGGACCCAGTTCAGTTATTTTTTAAAGCTCTTTTAACCCTTGTCAAAATTTTTCCCTGGTAGTTACAGCTCTTCTTCCATTAACACACAGCGATATATTCAGAAAGCCATTAGGAAAGAAATCACAGCAGTGGTAGGCATCATGCCCCCCTACTCTGGAAGGTCGTAGTCACAAAAGTTGCAACCAAGTGGCAAATCCCAACACTGAGGAGGTGATGCAGTTGCTACCCGCGGTCCAGCTCCGTACCTAAGATCAGCAGCTCACAAACTAGCACCAAGGAGCATTGAGACTGCCAATTAGACGCCTTCTACAAGAACTGTAGGCAAGAGTTACCCACAGTGGACATGTGTGCATTTTACTGGTCTTTTAATTTTATTTTGATTTCTGTGAGATTAGTAGCTATGCAAACCTACGTTGGCCAAACCCCTGGTTAAGCCCTGGGACAGGTGGCCACAAGGCCCAGGTGATACAGTGCAGTGTTACTCACTGGTCTTCAGAGTAAAGCACAGGATCGGGGTTCCCGGAAGGGGTTGCTGCCAGCCGGCACGCCCACCAGCAGTGCGTCCTTGCAGGCGTTCTGCATGCAGTACTGCTGAAGCTCCGCAGCTGCCTGGGAGACCTGCAGCAAAGCAGACAGTGTGGTCTGGGCTCATGGCTTCAGCTGCGTTTACCACGGCGTGACCCGGCTCACAGCCATGGTCTATGCTGCGTCCACTGGCTGCATGACCCAGGCTCACGGGCATGGTCTATGCCGCATCCACCGGTAGCGTGACCCGGCTCACGGCCATGGTCTATGCTGTGTCCACCGGCGGCGTGACGCAGGCTCACGGTCATGGCCTTGTCCTCCTGCTGCATGACCCGGCTCACAGCCTTGGTCCATTGGCAGCAATGTCACTCCTGCTGTGACCCCCATTGCTACATTTTGTAGCGCTCCAACAACTGAATTCTGAGGAGAAAGATTACAATCCGTATGAACCCCAATTGAGAATATTTTTAATCTAATTTTTATTCAACAAAGGTAAGAAAACTTGGCATCACTGATCTATTTATAAGATTAACTTTGAGATTCAACTGGTAAAGGAATAGCTCATTTCTAACACTCCCTTTACAAATATTCACTTACATAAAGCATGCATGTGATAGCTATAAGTTTGCACAGTGGGCAAATTGCTTTAATATTACAAGGCTAAGTTTTAGTGGGCCTGCTCCAAACAACTGCTACAATTCTTTCATCACATTTTCTGAGGGAATTTAGCTTATTATTTAGAATTCGTATTATTCAGTTTATTATTCAGAATGCAGGGACAGGTGTGTGGCACAGGTTCAGAGCCTGAGTCCCAGTGCTACTTCCAGTTCCAGCTACACACTCGGGAGGCAACGAACACAGCAAGCTGCTGGGTCCCCGCCACCCACACCTGACACAGGACTGAGTCCTTGGCAACGGGTTTTGGCCTAGCACAGCCATAACTGCTGAGAGCATTTAGGGAGTGAACTGGTGGGACAACCCATCTTACCCATCTGCCTCTCTCCCTCTTTGCTTTTCAATAAACAAATAAATTCAATTTCTAGTAGCAGGTTGTTCAGACCCCAAGTTCAGCTAGCTGTCTATATGACCTAAGGAAAAGTATCAATTTAATTTTTTAGTATCCTTGTTTCCTCATCTGTGAAATGTATCTAATAATGGGACCTGCCTCCCTGGGCTCAGCTGTGGAGTAAGTGAACACGGGTCAAGCACTTAGCACTTGGCTGTCACAGCACTACATTGGTGGCAGATTGCAAACACCATCACGATAGTTTCCTACCCAAAGTTAGAGTCAATTTACACACTCCTTCAATCTGGGCCGGCTTGACTTGCTTTGGCCAATACAGTGTGGCAGAAATACAGGGCAGGTCCCGTGCAGCCTGTTTGCAGCTACCACTCTTGCTGTAGTTAGGACGCTCAGACCATCCTTGGGGAGAGTCTGAGCTGTCTGCTGGAGGTCTTGAGAAGGGAAAACCAGGAAGGGTCCCAGGCTCTTGCTGCCTGCGCTAGTGAGGCCACCTTGGAGCAGCACCCTGACAGCACCCTGGAGCTGTCAACTTCCCATCTCCCTGCAGACGCCATCAGCAGAACTGCTCAGTTGAACCTCACTGTCCCAGCCAACCTAGGAAGAATGAATTAATGAATGCTCTAACCCATGAAGATGCTGGGTAGTTAAGTGGCAAAGCTAACCTATGAACAGTGGTATTGCTTTTCGCCTCACCCTTCATTTGATGAATATTTCTATTTGAAGTGCTCCTCCTTTTTCTAGAGAAACTCAATTGCATTGTATGAAATACAGTTCCAACTGTTTTTCAGATATTACCGTTCATTTGTGTTAACTTCAAATGCTATAATCACTATCGGGTTCCTGGAATACTTGAGGAATTTTGGTTGCACTTGTGTAATAAGCTTCCACTACATAGTCATAGAATATTACCAGAGTAATGTTTAGGCTTATTCTGGTCCATGGAAGCTCTGAGTTATTCACATTAGTTATCAATGGAATCAATTGTATGTGAATTGCTAATTCAAGATGAACTAGAGGGGCTGGCATTGAGGCACAGTGGGTTAAGCCACCACCTGCAATGCCAGCATCCCATGCAAGCACTGCTTCCAGCTCCAGTTGGATCACTTTAACCCAGCTCCCTGAATGTACTTGGGAAAGCAACAGAGGCTGGCCCGGGCCCATGTCATCCACAGAGAATACCCAGCTGGAGTTTTGGCTCCTCATTTCCATCTGGAGTTTGCAGCCATTTGGGAAATGAAAGAGTCTCTTCCTCCCTCTCCCGGTAACTCTTCCTTTAAAATAAATAACTGAAAACAATAATAATTGGAACCAAGTGCCCTCATGCTTACTCTTTCTGCGTGACAAGGAACAGCTGAACTCCGTCTCCCGGGCCCCGCTGGACACATTCTTGTGAATGATTCTGAACCCTAGCCTGAAGCCCGTGGTCAGCCAGATTAATGCAAAGGACATAAAAAGAAAATATGCAGAAGAATGGTCAGCATCTCTGTGTCATGATCAAGGGGCAGGGGCTCGGGGTGCGGAGAACTTACACCAGCCGTCCCCTTTCGGGTGGATATTCCCCACCCACGGCACCTGACTGCTGTATCCAGGTTACCCAGAAACTTCTAAAAAGCTTCCCCTAAAAAGGAGTCCTGGAAGGATGACAGGTGTTGCAGGCACTGGAAGTTGTGGCCTCCACTGTCTAGTCGTGATTTGGTGTTGTGGTTTACTTTCAGACAGCAATTCTGTCAAAGGGAAAACATCTCAAGCTGGCATAATGGTTAGCCGTCTAACCTTCTGCCTGCCAGCACTGGGATCCCATATGGGCATTAGTTTGTGTTCCTGCTGCTCCACTTCCCAGTCCAGCTCCCTGCTTATGGACTGGGAAAGCAGTGGAGGATGGCCCCAGTGCTTGGGCCACTGCACCCCTGTGGGAACTTAGAAGCACCTGGCTCCCAGCTTTGAACCAACCCAGCTCTGGTCGTTGCAGTCATTTGGAGAGTGAACTAGTGGATGGAAGATCCTTCTCTGTGTTTCTCCCTATCTGTAACAAATCTTTAAACAATGGGGGAGGGAGGCATCTCTGTGCTCAGCTGAAGTAGAGTCCCAAGATGAGGCTGTTTCAATCTGTGATTTCCCAAGTGAGGAGTGGGAAGTGCCTCGTTCGGCTTAAGAGAAACTCAGTCTTCAATGGGATTGCTCAGTGCCCAGCTGGCTAGGTCTGGGCCAGGCTGTAGCCAAGAGTCAGGAGCTCCATCTGTCTCTCCTAAGAGGCCAAGCAGCTGACATTATCTGCTGCTCCAGGGGTGCATTAATAGGAAGCTGGATGGAAAGTGGAAGAGTTGGCACTTGTTATGAAATGCTGATATGGCAAGTGGTGACTTGACTTGCTGTATTATAGTGTTGCCACCTCCTCCAACCCTGAATCTTTTCTTTTTTAAAATAAATAATATCTTCTTAGTGACTTCACAAGATAGGAGGGTATTTGACTCAGCTTTCCACTTCAGGTCCCAAAATCATCTTAAAAATTTAACAAACATGGGCCTGGCACAGTAGCCTAGTGGCTAAAGTCCTCACCTTGCATGTGCCAGAATCTCATATGGGTGCCGGTTTGAGTCCCAGAGGCCACGCTACCCATCCAGCTCCCTGCCTGTGGCCTGGGAAAGAAGTTGAGGATACCCCAAAGCTTTGGAACCCTGCACCTGCATGGAAGACCCAGAGGAGGCTCCGGGCTCCTGGCTTTGAATTGGCTCAGTTCCAGCTGTTGTGGCCACCTAGGGAGTGAACCTTCAGATGGAAGATCTTGCTCTCTGTCTCTCCTCCTCTTTATATATCTGCCTTTCCAATAAAAATAAGTATGTATTTTAAAAAATTAAACAACTTTCTCTTTGATATGTCTAGCTACAGCAAACACCAGAAACGGCACCACTCTAACCCTGCACACTTCGGTCCCCTACCCCCTACCCAGGTACTACTTCCTTTCTTCTCGTGTTCTCTGACCTCAGTGCTATCATTGGGCATGGCCTCTGCCCTTGTTGTGCCAGCCACCAGCAGGGACAGGTGCCCTCCAAGTCCACCTCCACCTGTCTAGCACATTCCCTCAGTGAACCCAGCGCTTGGGAAGGCAGTGGATGATGGCCCAAGTATTCAGGCCCTGCCACCCACGTGGGCGAGCAGAATGGAGCTCCTGGTCCTGTGCCAGTTGGAGAGTGAACCAATGGGTGGAACAATGTCTCATTTCACTATCTTGCTCTCCCTCTGTCCTTTTGTCACTCTGCTTTTCAAACACATCGATCTTAGGGAAAAAAATGGTCATCACCAAAGTCCTTCCTAGAAACACACCTTTCCACATATCCCACCTGCTAACTTCCCGTCTCAGCAGCATCTCTCCAGTCCCCGCGCTCCAGCACCCCGTCATCACCTCCCATTCTCCAGCTGTCACTTGCCTTTGGCTTAAAACTAGAATTAGCTCCTTCCCCTGCACTCCTCCACCCAATATATGACTGTTCCCATTTTTAAAAATCCTCTTTAAGGACATTTTTTCTTTTTGGTGGGTAAAGGATTAAACCCAAACACTATCTATTAAAAATGCAGATTCCCTGAAACCTCGCTGCATTCTAGAACCCTCTCTTTTCTCCACCTTAAATTTTATAATCTTCGTGCCATTTATGATCCTCAGTTATTATTGCTCTGACAGACGGACTCCTTTGCTGCACATTTTCCCCACCAGATGCTCTTACTGCCCACAGAGAGGGCACAGCCCCATGCAGGGGCGGCCACAGCAGTGTCTCTTACCTTCTGCACACCATGCCGACTCGTGGCTCAGCAGTCACACGACAGGCACTTTCTTAGCCAACTGAGTAGACCTTGAAGGCACTGACAATGGCCTTCATCTCCCAAGTGGGTGGCGGGAAAAACCCCAATAGTTGAGCCGTCCCCGCTGCATCCCAGGAGCCTTAACAGGGAGCTATGTATCCCAGGCACTCCAACATAAGCCTTGCGGAGCCACCACACGTGCTCCTCACAACCCTGTGGTTGTAAATGTCCCTCCACCCTTGTCTCGATGGCCTTCCTGTCCAAGCATCCCGTTCCCTGGCCGGGCTTCTTTGGCCTGTCCCTGGTCCTCTGCGCTGTTCATGTAGCACACGTCTTCAACTCCCACGCATATTAATATCCTCTTGCAGCCTTGAGCTGTGCTAAACCCCTCCTGGGTAGTTCCTCAAGGTCCACAGGGCCGGCACTGCGCTCCTCGAGTCCCCAAAGCCAACCCGCTCCCCAGCATCCTGCTACGTGACGCGAGAGCAGCGCCATGGCTCCTGTCAGCAAGCCAGAAACCCGAGCATCCTCCTCCTCTCGCCCCATCAGCCACCAAGTCCTGACCACGCAGTGGCCTTTTCAGCTCTGGACCCGGTGCTCCTGCGGCAGCCGGCTCCAAGCCGCCAGCCTAGCGCCCCGAGGCACCGTCTACGCAGTTAACAACCAGGCCGAGCTTTCGCGAGTGGAAACGCTCCCGTGGCACTGGGTCCCGGGCCACGCCCGCGGGGCGGCCTGCAACTTTGGGCCCAGCAGGCCCGGCCTCCGCGCGGAGCTGGCAGGGTCGGGGCTCGGCCGTCCGCACGCTCGGACCCCGCCGCCCCCACGTCCGATCCGGAGCTGCCTGCGGCCGCCGGAAGCCTCCCCGCAGCCCGAGTGCCCTCCCGCTTGCTCCAGGGCCGGGGTCAGCAGCCATTTCCTCCCGGGCCGCGGGCCTCCTCCCCCAGCGCGCCCGGGCCGGCGGCCAACCGCGGGCGGCAGTGCCAAGAGAGCGCGCTCCCGCCGGCCCGCACCTTGATCCGCTCCACGCCGGCCTCGAGCTTGAGCTGCTCCACCACGCGCTGCAGGGCGCTCACGCTGGCCCCAGAGGACATGGCGGCGGCGCTGGGCTCGTTCGGCAGCAGCTCGGGGCTGGGTCGCAGGCCCGGAGCTCGGCGCCGCCCCGGGGCGGGGTAGCAGCGGCGCCCGCCCCGCCGCCCGAGCCTGCAGGGAGCCGCAAACCAGGGGACACTGCGGGGTCCTTGGCTGATCAAGGAAACCCAGATGCCGCCTAGCCTAGGCCCACAGGATGGCGCGGTGAGCGAGCTGGAGACCGGCACGGAGCAGAGGGCGGAGGCCACCTAAGACACCTCTCTGTTGCTCAATGAGAGAACCGGGATTCTGTCACCTAGGGTGCAGGTGAGGATGACGCTGAAGAGCAGTCCCGGGATTTCCAGGAACCGGTGCCAGGGTGGTCTGTGAGCCTGCAATCGTTCTGTGGAAATCTTAGCACCCGGTGTGGTAAGGTGACGATGGGACTGGAGTGAAATCCAATCCATCCCATCTTGGGGACACGGAGGAGGATGTGCAGTGGGGCTCTGTCACCTTTGTCTCAGAGCCAGAGCTGTGGGCTTCTGATTTTCCTTTACTTTAACCGGTAACACTCAGAGTTGTGTGAGCTGGGTCTAGGGACATTCAGGACTGGGCCAGTTCTCAGTACCAACAGGGAGTGGGCCATGCCCAGCTGGGCTAAGCTGCGACACCCACCAGTAAGAGCTGAAGCTGCAGGTGGGCCATGCCAGGCTGGGTCACAGCACCTTCCAGTGCTGGGAATTGACTTGGTCAGGGAACTCTGGGGACTCCCCTGCTAGGCCACAGTTCCCATCAGTGAGTGCAAGAGCCAAGAGCTGTGGGTGGACAAGGCAAGGAAGGTTGCATTACCCATCAATGTGTGCTGATCTGAGGGTGTGCCAGACTGGGCTAGGATCCAGCACCCTTAGGTGAGAGCTGGAATGAGTACAGGTCAGTTGGGCTAGGCTGCAGTACTGAGGGCTGGCCATGTCTGGATAGCAGCACTCATCTGTATATCTAAACTCTATTTCTAGGGTCAGGCCTGAGAGGGGAACTCCCCTGCCAGGCACAGCTCCTGCTGGTGAGCACAAGAGCTGGAACTGCTAGCAGGCCTGGCCAGGCATATGTGTGAGCTGGGTCTGAGGGCAGGGTGGGCAGGGTCAGTCCAGCGCACACTAGTAAGAGTCAGGACAAGGTGTAGGCCAGGCTGGGCTGGACCATAACACTTTCCAGTTCACATGAGGGTTGTTGGTAAGAGCTGGCACTGGGAGCAAGCCCAGTGGAGTCAGGCTATAGCATCTACTGGCAAATAAGCAGACTTGAAGCAGGCCATCTCAGACTGGGCCACAGCACTTGCTGACCTGGGGCTGGGAGCATGCCTGGTAAGGGAACTTGGAGAACTCCCTTGCTGGGCAGCTGCTTCCAGTAGTAAGCATGAGAGCTGGGACTGGGGGCAGGCTGGTGTTGGGGCAGGCCAGGCTGTGCTAGGCTGCAGCAGCAGCTGGCGAGTGCCGAGACTGAGGGCAAGTCATGTCAGGCTGGACTGCATGGCAGGTGCAAGATCTGGGGCTTGCACCTATCCTCTGGCAGGTGCAAGATCTGTGTCTGGGAACATCCCTGGCAGGGGAACTGGGGACACTCCTCTGGTAGGCTGTACCTATTGCTGGTGAGCACAAAAACAGGACTGGGGACAGGCCACAGTGGACAAGGTGGTAACACCTGTTGGCATACGAGAGTCAGGTTTGGTCAAGCAAAGTCACAGCACCCACAGGTGTGCATGAGGGTAGAATGGAATATGGGCTGGGCCAGGCCAAGGCATCCACTGGTATGCATGAGGATTGGGTCTGTGGTGGGCTGGCTGAGCTGGGCTGCAGCACCTGTCCATTTGGGACATGGGGCTGGGGCAGAACTGAGCAGACAGGCAGGCAGGCAGCTGCATCCACCAGTACCTGAGTTGGCTGGTACAAATAAGTCTGCACTGACTGACACACATAACTCTGAGTGAGGTCACCTCAGGTAAAATTTGGTGGGGGACTCCACAATTCGACTGCTGGACTCAGATATGCCACAGGGGGAAAAAAATCACAATATATGTTGTCCAACCATGGAGAGCATGTATTGGAACCGGCCTACAGGCTTGTATAAACTGCTGATGCCTGTGCAGTGGTCAGCATGCGCAGATGCACATGGGGGAGGGACATGACAACTAGCTCATCTAGAGCAGCAGGGGATGTTGACTGCCTTGTCAGGATGAAAGGCAGAATATGTTGGACAATTCTGGCCAAGCTTTGCCACATGTTCCTGGGTGTGTGGTTGCACTAAGGTGGACTTTCTCAACCAACAGACCTCGGGAAGATTTTTTTTTCAATGCCGGAGCAATGAAACCAAAAACTTCCCATAGCCATGAAAACCACTCAAGTAACACCCTTGAAACACTCTTCCTCAGGTCTCTCAGGCATCATCAAACTACCATAACCCAATGCTGGGCGCTGTAGTTTGACAGCAAAGAGCAGGGTCTTCTACCTTCCCCTGTGAACACAGGAGGAAAAAAACCCAAAAAACCAAAAACAAACAAAAAAATGGAAACATTTGTCCCGCCTATTTTCCTCCAAACCTGAAACTTCACCACTCTAATCAGAGGCCTACATGGACATACATCCCTCTCAACTATGTGAACAATATTAAAAATAAATTTTTTTAAAATTCCCTACTTTATCCTCCAGAGGGTTGTATAAACTGATACTCTGAAAGGCTGTAAAAGCATTCTTGTGCACCTTGACAACTCCGTATTGTGGTTTCTTGCCAATTTGAATGTTATCTCAGGTCTCTTAAGTGTCTTAACCGAGACAGGTGTCATGGGATAGCAGGGTAAACCACCTTTTGGAACACATGCATTGCATGAGTGCTGGCTCAAGTCCAGGCTGCTCCACTTCAAATCCAACTTCCTGCCAAAGCACCCTGGAAGGCAGCAGATGATTGGCCCTTGCCACCCACATGGGAGACCCCGGTGGCACTCCTGGCTTCTCTTGCTCTGGCTGTCCTGTGCATTTAGAGTATGAACCAGCAGATTCTGTTCCATAACTCCTAATTTTCTGTCATCCTATCTTTCAGATAATAATTTAAAAGAATACTTCCTTTAGAAGTTTTAACTCTTTGAGGCTGAACACTGCCTCTATTCATTCCACGAGGTACGTGTCCATGACCTTTAGGGTGGCAAACAGCTATTCCCCAGTGACAAAGCAGACTTGTTCTTTTGAAAATCTCTTGAGAGACAAGTTTGCTCTTCACAAAGACCTTTACATGTATTGTAGCGGAGAGCTCAGAGTAGGAGTGAAGAGAACCGGAAGGGCTCGAAGACATGACAAAGAACTCAGGACAGAGTAGGAAGATGAGGAACGGCTCCTTGTCAGTGGTGGGACTGCGACCTGAAAATACACATACGGCAAGTGGACTGGAAAATAATGTCCCAGTGTGGAAGAGGGCAGGTGGCCATGCAAGTATGAATAAATAAAGTACAGAATAGATAAAAGGTAGGGCTCTAGATCCTGGCTTGGTTGCCCCGTGGGTGAAGTCCTTGCCTTGCACACATCAGGATCCCATGTGAGCTGTGGTTCTAATCCCGGCAGCTCCACTTCCCTTCCAGTTCCCTGCTTGTGGCCTGGAAAAGCAGTCGAGGATGGCCAAAAGCCTTGGGACCCTGCACCCGTGTGAGAGACCCAGAAGAAGCTCCTGGCTTCAGATTGGCTCAGCTCTGGCCATTGTGGACACTTGGGGAGTGAACTAGCAGATGGAAGGTCTTTCTCTCTGTATCTCCTTCTGTCATTCTGACTTTCCAATAAAAATAGATAAAACTTTAAAAAATGTATTGGGCTCCAGTGAGCCATAGGGGATACAGGAGTTCTTCAGATACTGTAGAAAACAGAATAAATGATGTTTTATTTCTGCGCAAAAGTATTTTTCAATCCATGTAGTTTTCTGATAATACACAATTACTATTAACTTTTTTGAAGGGCTGCCATCTAAAGCTGCTAAGACTAAAACTTATGAAAAATTTAAAAAAAAAAAAAAAAGTCCAATTCTAGCAGACAGAGGTTGAGCCACATGATGAAACGCTTCAGGAATGTTCAACTGTACTGAGCATGCAGACGCAACTGAAGCTGGAGTGAGACTAGGGTTCCTGGGAGCAGTGCCCGGGATGGAGCCGTGCGAGGGTAGGAATGAAGTAGAGGACAAATGCAAAAGCCCGGGACTGGCAACGGGGTGCAGAGGAGGAAGCCACTGCCTCCGACAGAAGTGCCCTGCCAGTGCTGCACGGAGTCCTGCCTGCTCCACTTCCAGCACAGCTCCCTGTGAATGCACCTGCACAGCGTGGGAAGATGATACAACATCCCTGTCACCCACGTGGGAGACCTAAGTTTGAGGCTCAAGGCTTTGGCCTGGCTTGGCCCGGGTCACTGTCACCATTCGGGGAGTGAATCAGCACGTGGAAAATCCATGTCAGATTTTCAAATAAATCTTATATATACATGCACACACACACACACACACACACACACACACACACACATCCACAGCAGCTGGGGTGGTTGTGCATTGCACAACGAAGGCTCTGAAGCAGGAGGCCAGAACAGTGCCAGAAATGAGGAAATGAGGCTTGTGGTGAGGGGTGGGAAATGCTGTATTAGGAGAAACTGTCTTCGATAGGACTGTTACCCACATGACCTGAAAGCCACAGAAAGCGCTTAGGAGCCAAGATGCTGAGAATCACCTGCACAGCCGTGCTGGCTGGCATGACACAGGAGGGCTTCCTCCTCAGTGTGGCCCCCAGCATTAACCCCAGGGAGAATAGCCCCAAAAGGAGGCACACACGGCCTGGGGCGTCTCCTGCACAGCACCATGCTTAGGGAGTTCTAAAGTCAGACTCTTCACTTCAGCTCCAAACTAACCACACAGCTCCAGTTTCCCAGAATTCCAGTGCTGCTTGGAAATGTCAGTGTTCCTACAAACACACACACACTGCATTCATGTATCTCCCTGTTATTACGATTCTTTGTTCTTGCATTGTTATCTGTCACCTTTCTGTTAACAGTGAATTGCCCTTGCAGAAAAGGAGCTGTGCCTCGCCAGCCATGTAAGCAGAATGGTGCCACGGGAAGGTATTTCCTTATCAGACTGACATAAACATCTACCTCTGTCATTCTCCAAAATTACTGAGAAACAGGAAAGTTTACTACACTTATCATACCAAAGTATAACATACTGTAAAAAAACGACTAGCTTTTTGGGCAACTGTCCTAAGCGTGTCTGTTGGTGACACTGTTCCTCAGAGCATGTGGCCCCTGAGTAAACACAGGCCTTAGGTTGACCAGCTGCTGATTCTTCTGAACTCTCTCCTTTCTTGTCAAGTCTCAGCTGCTCCGCCTCCGCTGGCACCAAGCACGGATGGCTGCTGGCTCTCAGTCCCACAATTGTAGTCCAAGTTCTCACCATGACGCTGACCTCTGCACAACGGATGGAATTAATATGCCAGCTAGCAAACTGGACACAATGGTTGTAGTCAAGGACGGCCCAAAGCCTTGAGACCCTACACCCGCATGGGAGACCTGGAAGAGCCTCCGGATTCTTGGCTTCGGATCAGTGCAGCACTGGCTGTTGCAGCCGCTTCCGCCTGGGAAGTGGACCAGTGATGGAAGATCTTTCTGTCTCTCCTCCACTCCGTATATCTGACTTCCCACCCCACCACTAAAAAAAAAGAAAAAAAAAAACAACAAAAAGAAATATGTACTGCACACTCAGCTTTTGCCAGGTATTTTGCTTCTGTCTGACCCTCTAACTCATAGTTGTCATACCAACCCCCCCCCCAAAAAAAACACCCTAGAAACGAAGTTCAGAGATCAAAGTCATCTGCAAATCAACTTGGGTCTATGTCTAATTGGAAAGCCAGGGTGTTTCAATGAGCCTGCTCACCTTTCTAGAGGTTCTGGAAGAGTTTGTCATGTGACAACAACATCCTTATCCCAACGAAACCAGGGAGGAGGACTCTTAAAAAATCCATCACACTAAAATCCCATGATCCATTTGGTACACTGTTGTCCAGATCCTAGGTCCTTCAAGAATAAAGAAATCATTTACAGCTTATAACAGTAATGTAGGTTTTTCTTTTTAAAACTGTTTGAAAGGGAAAGTGACAGACAGTGAGACCTTCCTTCTGCTGGCTCACTTCCCAAATGGAAACAGTGTCTGGGTTAGGCCAGGCCAAAGTCAGTCATTCAAACTGATTCCCATGTGGAGGGCAGGGGCCTCAACAGCCACTGCCTTCCCAGGCCATTCGTAATTGAGGCAGCTGGAATTCCACTGGTGCTATGACTTGGGATGGTGGCATCACCAGTGGCAGGTTGACATGCTGTGCCACAGTGCTGGCCCCTTAATTACCTAGATTTCTAACTTAACACCATATCTGGTCTCATTTGCAAGCAATCTACATACTTTGGGCCTTAAATCCATGTGTATCAGGCATGTTTAGATTGTACAATTTTAAATCTTATCTAGAAAATCCCTCTCTTTTCATAGGAAACCTAAAAGGTTAGCAAATCTTACTAGTTGCTAAGTTTTAAATTTGGCTTCACTCCACATTTAGATGTGAAGAGCATGGCTCTGTGCAGGTAAGAGTAGTTATAACTTATTTAATCAGTCTACCTCAAATGCACCGATTATAACTCAACGACCCTGCTTAGAATCTTAGAGTAGTTGTATTTTATTTATTCAAACTGCCTAATAATATCTAGTTCTCCTTAATTTCCACAGAACTTTCTATTTGTAGCCAGGAGTCTGGTTCTAGACACTGTGTTAGCTTGACAACTGGCTTCCATTTGAGCAAAGTACGTTCAAGTTCTGGGGGCTAAAATGTTTACTGTCCTTTAGGGCCAAATAAATAAAAAATAATATACATATATATTATTTAAATTAACGGTACTAAAAATATTTAATTCTCCAAATTTAACTTTTTTTTCAGGTAACATTTAAAAACTATACAGCAAATACAGTGTCTGGGATGCCAGGTACCTCTCGATGTGTTAAGGCACTGCAGCCTATGATTAGTAGAACTCGGAGAATTCAGAAAGAAGAGCATCGAGGTAAGGGTTAGCAGTGGGCTGTGTTCTGAGGACACTGGACATGAATCTATCTTGCAGACCTCCTGTCCGTGATGGGGTGACCAGGAAGCACTGATCAGCCACTCTCTAAATCCTGCAATACTAACTACAAAGCAAAGAGCTGCAACTCTAACATGAAGCATGAGAAACACTGTCTTGACTAGTGCAATTCTCAGCCCTCTATCCAGATTCCTCCTCAGATGTTTCTAGAGCAGAAAAGCTTTCACTGGTAGGGGACAGGCAGAGAACGCCGATGGTAGAAATACTCGGAAAACACGAGTGATACCTACGACAAGCAACGGCCCTTCCTTTGCAGTAGGATTCTGAATACACAGTCAAGTCTGTTGAGGGCAGGGGACGGGAGAGTCACAGTCCAATCAGAGAGACCCTTCCTCTCATCTCATGCATTGACCACAGTTCCAAAAGATGAACTTAATTCCAAAGAGATTTCTACAACAAGAAATATTCAATAACTGAGCATTCACACAAGACTGCCCTTTACAAATATTCTAGTTTGTCCTCTTATTTTTTTTTATTACTAGGTTAAAAAAAATATATATATATATATATTTTATATACATGTACAGACAATAAGAAATTCTCTGGAAATCTTTAAGAGGGGGCATGGTACCTGAACTTCTTTTTGGTCTTCCTAATGTATGACACATACTTCCCTTCTCAGGGGATAAGCACCATTGTGTGATAACTAGATGCAAACACGCTTCCACACAGACCGATGATGCTACAGTAAACTCCCATAACCCCGAAATGCATTTATCTGTGCTTAACAACTGGACAACTGAGGCTGGAGACAGCCACATATATATTTTTGCTCTATAGCTTCTCCACACTCCTAAAATAGAATGGATGTATCTCTTTCATCTGAATTTTATAGAACTATATCAATACATTTCAGAATTTTAGAGCTGCAAAAGGGTACTACTGATTCTCTAAGTCAAACTCCTACCCTATTTAACTTTTACTCAAGTGCATTTATTTGAAAGGTTGAGAAACAGAAAGACGGACGAACCACTGTTCAACGGCTTCAGCCTCTGGCTAACCCAACAGCCAGGGCTGGGTCGAGGGAAAGGCAGAGCTGGGAACGTAGCCAGAACTCTCCCGAAGGCAGGGGTGCAGTTGCCTGCCACAGCGAGCCTCAGCAGGGAGCTCCTGTTAGGAGTGGAGACAAGACTCAGACGGGGGATGTGAGTCCCAGGTGGCATCTTCCATATTCAGGATGTGGGCAGATGAGGCCCTAACTCACAGATGAGCTCACTGGCCTTGTCTCTGGCCAGACCAGCAAGTATGAAGCTCTGCCCTCCTGCCTCCTTCTGTCAGCCACATATCTGTGCTGCACGTTTGCAGCTCAAATTCCACATCTATACTACATTTCAGTCATTTCTTAAAACCATAGGATGCAAAAGCAGTATCTTCACCTTTAATTAAAACGCCATGCCAACAAACTTACAATACATTACAGCCATTTTATGCCTATGAATTCACAGCATGCTTGAGTGAGTGAATTCTGTGTCATTTACTGCCTCTTATACACGGATGAAAGGCCTTTACACCACTCAAGGACTTCACTACCTTAGGAACAACTTCTTAGTACTTAATTTCTGCCCTGCCATTTTTGTTTTTCAACTGAAAAGAAAGAGGCAGAGGCTTTTTTTTTTAACCAGGTCCTTTCTGGAGAACGTTTGAGGACACCACTGCAGTCCTGTGAGAGGAGTGTCATGAAGGCCACCCCACATTCCTGGAGAGTCTGATCTTGTTCAGAATTCTAGTAATGGAGGCTGTCACACAGCTGTTCTGGCAGAAGACTCTCCTAGAGAGAGGAGACCGCACACACGTGATAACCCTAGCACGGTCGCCGGGGAAGGCGACAGGATGATCAAACCGTTCAGGTCAAGAAGCTCGTGTCTAGAAAGACACAAACATGGAGTTTGGTACTGTCACAATTTTTTTGTTTTGTGAAAATACAGAAGCCACGAAAGCCGAAAAACAGTGCATCATAAAATAAGGAAACACGTGACACATAAAAAATTGCAAATGGTATCTAATAAATTTTCATGTCAAATCTTGTAACTAAACATATAAAATTTTTATGTGACAATGAATAAATTTTCATGTCAAATCTTTTAACAAAAGCCAGAAATAGATTATAAAAATTGAACAATCATAAATGTCTTATGTATAAAGTTTTACGGGGAAGTTCCAATGTCTACGGTGCTCTGTGTAATCAGATCCTTGAGGGATTTTAGTTACTGCTGAGGAGCAGTTGATGCATTTCTAAAATAACGCAGTTATTAAAAGAACATCACAATGAATGTTTGGCACGGTGGCATCCCGTTAGTCTTCAGTCATCCGCGAACGTTAGCCGTCCAGGCCCTTCGTTCTTCATCCACCTCCTGTACCTCTTCCATCTGGGGTCACTGGCCAGCTTCTTCTTTAGTTCTGCTTCCTGTTCTTGCTTATACACCTACACACATAATAAATCACACTAAATGACTTTACAGTTCATGGGTGACACATCCGTTAGCTTTATGGCTTGTGTACATTTTTCCAGCAAAACTTCAGATACAAATTTCCAATGGGTTTATTTTATGACTTGTCTTCTAAAATAATGAGCTTGAAATTAAGGATTTTAGCATTCATTGTTAAAAAGGAAAAGTAACACCTTATTTGTCACTGATTTCAGTAACCTGGGAATACTTTTTTTTCTTCAATGAAATTATGAACAAACTAAGTTTAAAGCGCTTGCCAATTCCTTTCTACAATAGTAGAGAATCAACTATTAATATTTTTAACGAGCTGCTTTTGTAAATTTAACTAAGGACTTTAGACTTGGTGACCTAAAAGAAGAAACAAAACACTCTCCCCAAAATGAAACTGCATTTATTTTTATGTTCAAAGTTCTGAATATTGGTTCTTCAAAACTATAAAGAACAAGGAACCTCTGTTTCTGTGACTTCAGCGCATGTCAGCTGAAGCCAAATGGACGAGCTGACAGAGCTGGTTTCACAGTCACTTCAGCCTTTATTTCATGGAAACTGTTCAAAAGGCAAAAAGGCAGCGAGAGGTCTTCCATTGGCTGGTTTACTCTCCAGGGTCCAGAACACCAGAGGCTGGCCCAGGCCAGGCAGGCCACGGCGGGGAGGAAGAGTGCGGCAGTCCCCATGCATCTGAGCCATCTCTTGGTCCCCAGGTGGCACATCAGCAGGAATTTGGAATTACAAGTGGAGCTGAGCCATGAAAACGGGGACTGACACAGGGTGCAGGTGTCCCCAGCAGCATCTAGGCCACTGCCCAAAGGCCTACTCCACTTTGGGCCTCGGAAAGCAACTGCTTGACTTTCAAGGAAGCAATGACTAAAATAACCTCATATAACATACATGTAAATCAGCACATGGCAACATTCGAAGGGAAACACAATGCCGTGGACTGGGTTACTTGGAAAACTACAAATAACTGAAGAGCTATAACTGGGTTTAACAAATCTACTTCCCGAAACACTTGACAACTAAGTTAGTTTACTTAAATACCATTCAGACCAAAACTTCATTTTCATTAAAATCTACTTAAAACATCACCTATAAAAATGACCATGAAAACTGGAATAAACTACCCCCGCCCCAATACATAAAGATTTCACATGGGCCCAGCACGGTGGCGCAAGTGGTTAAAGGTCCTCGCCTAGCACGCCCGGGATCCCATATGGGCGCCGGTTCTAATCCCGGCAGCCCCGCTTCCCTTCCAGCTCCCTGCCTGTGGCCTGGGAAAGCAGTCAAGGACGTCCCAAAGCTTTGGGAACCTGCACCCTGTGGGAGACCCGGAAGAGGCTCCTGGCTTCGGATCGGCATAGTATCGGCCATTGCGCTCACTTGGGGAGTGAATCATCGGACGGAAGATCTTCCTCTCTGTCTCTCCTCTCTGTATATCTGCCTTTCCAATGAAAAAATAATAAAAATAAATCTTTAAAAAAAAAAAATAAAGATTTCACTGTGTATTAGCCTTGTATTTGTGAAAATGCCTGGAGTTTAAGGGCTTTACAGTCGATTTATTTTAATAAAATAAAAGCAATTTTCCAAATATCTGTTATTATGTAATACCATCTATGCTCAATTGAAAGAAACAGTTCTTTGAACAAAATTTCCATCTCTTGGTTTTGCTGTGATTTTTAAAAAACACCTGTGGCTAGGTTTACAGTAACTGCAGAAAACCTTGAGGAGGACTCCATTATAATCGGTGCATCCTCTTCCAAATACGCTGTCCCGCTGCAGTATAATGACAAATCAGACTCTGTTAAAACTATTTTCAGCATTAATAACGTAGCTGCAGTCCATCCTTTGAAAAGAAATTAGATGTTAAATAGCCACTGCTCCACCTCCAGCTCGAGCCCAACCCGGCACCTGACCTGACTGCCAGCCACCACTTACCTCATAATTCTCCTTGATCCACAGCTCCCTTTTAAGAAACGTTTCTTTCTGATGATCTTCTAGGCTATCAAACTGATATTTTGACATCTTCATAAATTTACGAATGAGGTATAGTCTCTCTTCCTCTCCATATTCTTTGCCTTGGATGTTAAAATTATAGACCCATCGGCAGTACCAGGCTATGTACAAACACAGGTGAAGAGGGGCTAGGAGGATCTGGAACAGGAGCAGATCCCGGATCTGGGGTTTCTGGTACCCTCCTTTGATGTCTATTTTACTTTTGATGATGTTCTTGATGATGTTCTCCTCTTCATCGCGGATTTCCTCTTTGGACTTTTTGCTTTTGCCCTTGTCTTTGGCCTTTCTGAGCAGTCCCTGCTGCCTGGCGATCTCGGTAGCTTGGATGCGGTACCTGGGCACCGTGGCGAGGTAGCTGATGGCTTTATTGTAGCTATTCCACCAGCTGAAAAACTGGAAGAGTCAACAAAGAAAAACATGTCATTTTTATAACAAAGCTCACATGAACTAAAGCAAGAGCAGGGAAGCTGGGTGAATACTGTCACCAAAGAAAACCCTTCTGATTTAAACTGAATAATGCCCATGTGCCCATGGGAGCTCAGGGTTCACGCAGCAAGGGGAACCCACTGGCGGCAGATAGGAGATGCCCACGAGCAGAGGGAGGACCCATGGCACCACACCACACCTGTGCTTTCACGTGCTCATCACTGATTTGGCTCTTCCCTGGATTACTACTAAGAAACCTGGTTTTCTTTTTCTAACTACATCCTACGTACAAGAGGAACAATTACATTGCAAAAACTAGCTGAGGAATTTGTTTTAAAAACTCAAGAGGGAATACATTCAAATGACCTTTCTTTCTGACTTCCTTATGAAGCCATCCACATGTACCATGCAAAGCTTATTCTAGTATGAACTGAAAGATTCTGTATGTTTGAATTCTGATTTGGACAGGAAAGCATTAACTGACTTCATAACTATATTCCACCACAAAGGATCTTGCCGTCAAAACAGTCCTGATCCTTGCACGGTATGTCTATATATTTCAGCTCATGCATTACACTGAATGAATTAACATCCTAAAATTATAATATAGCAAATCATTAAGAATAAGAAAATTGTGATTTCTGGTCTCCCACGGGAAAGGCAATCTCTAATGGAAACGGACACACTTAAATCACACCACCAAAGCTTCCACAGGCACTCATTCACCAGACGGATGATGACTTCTGAGAATTGAGCCACAGAGTAAATTTCAAATCAGCAAACTGCTTCATTGCAGTCACCTTTCTTTTCCTCTAGACTGAGTTAAATGTTTGTGAATTTTAAAACAACACACAAAAAAGTTACTTCTAACCCATTTCAGTGGTCTTCTAGCTGAGCAGGAGCACCCTGTGATGGCAAATGCCAGAGGCACTACTGGATGGGAGGCAGCACTGGTGAGATAGCATTAAAGAACTCAGACTTTCCCCAGGTTTAATAGGAAAGGCATACACGGGTGAATGTTAGGGGCTGGCTACCATTCATTCTGGCTGCTAGGTAGGAAATACTTGAGAAGGAGCAATGAGAACCAAAAAAATCAGGTATTTTGTTTGTTTGTATGTTTATAGTTACATAATACTATTTACTATTGATTTCTTAGATTCCTTCCCCCTCCCGCCCCCGGCAAAGATTTCAATTCAATACCCTTAGTTGGCCAAATAAATCTTCTTCTAGTGTAAAATATAAATTTTCACTGTAAGTACTATTTTACGAGTGTCTGCAGCTCAGTTTTAGCGGCTGGCACTATTCCACGTGCACACGTCCATTGATACACACCTGAAACACTGAGATAGCACACACACTGACCAGAATCACCACCCGCACGTCCACCTTGGGGGCTAAGCGCCTGCTGTAATAGTGGTAGTAATGGCTGTAGTACTCTTCCGGATGATCCAACATATAGTCGTAGTCCTTCCGTGTCTCTTCATCCTGCAACATGACAAGACGGCAAGTTCATTCAGTGGCTGAATAAAAAGAATGGAAACTGTTAAAGTCAACAAAGTTCTCAATGGCATGCATAAGTTTATTTCTGGAACTTTAACATGAGGTATAACAGCATACTAGAAAAACTTCCCCGATTCTTGAGTACTGCTACTGCTGCTTGGAAAAGAGCAACGTTTTAAAAATGACTAACTGTGCCCTTATTGCGGTGCTCATAAAGATGTCACATGTCCCTTTACGGCAGGCTGACATCTATTCTGCAGGACTGTCAGAAAAGATATCTATCTTCTACATTTATATATACACACACAGTCACAATGATGTCCGAGTTCTGTGTTCAAGTTTCTGTTGAGAGCAATGATTAAGCACGAGGCAGATGAAATCTGTGCCCCTATCCCTGACTTACGCCCCATTTCGAAGAAACATCAGGTCACTGATGTAGGAGAAGGGTCAAGGTCCATCTGCACCCTGGTTGAAATATTCAGCCTCTCTGAGCCTCATTGTTCATTTATGCCAGTCACTCTACCTTTTCTACATGGCTGCTTTAAAAGACAAATGACATACAGTCTACAAAAATAGTTACAAACCCAAGACGGGCATACTGCTTTAACACTCTGTCATAAGCCAGCTAATAGATGCAGGGACACACAGATGGATGGAAGAATTACAGCCTTCGGAGATGCCGCTGTGCGTGCTCACACACAGAGCGTTTCATGAAAACTCGAAGTCTGACCCATTTCTAACAGGGATAAACGCCGAAGCTTTACTACATTCCTTAGGTGGAGGAGCTACTCAAGCAGGTTACGGAGGTGCTCTGTTTCTCACAGGAACCCCTAATTTTCACCTTATCCCATTTTTAAAAATGTGAAACATCAGGACAAAACTTCTTTACTGTCTATATTTGACTAAAGTAGAGGCTACTGTAGCATCAAAGATCTTTTTTTAACTAGAAAATTTCTTTTCAGAAGAATTTACTCCAAATCTGTAAAGTTGTAGTTTCTCTGCCAAAACCATTTCAAAATCTAAGCCTAGTGCTTTGCTACCCACACAGACGTTCTGGGGTTCAGGGCCTTCTTCAATGTCACTTTTTGGCTTTAAAATAAGAAGTTGGCTAGTGTTAAGATATACCTATTAAGTCATTATAACATTTTCTATTCAGGATTTGAATTTGAAAGAAAACATTATAATAACTCAAAAATCTAGTTTAATTAGATATGCATATATTTAAAGAATACTACATGGTACTATATATACGAAAAAGCAGTATGAGAGCTACTCATTACAAAAGGAGAAGACATTTTCAATTCAATCCTTGGATGTCCTGTCTGTTCTAAAGGGTATTCTTCCAGCAACTGCCTTAGGCTCAATCCTTATGCCGTCTTTAAGCCTCCCTTCTAGAAGGAACACACAGCGGTCATGGAGGCCGTCCTTAGGACTAACAGCCACAGCTCTTGTCTCACCTCCTTTCTCGTAGTTCAAAATATCCTTTTTTCCCCTCATTTTTTTTTCCAGTAATTTTATAAACACTGCCCTGTGTTCTGAAATCCTTGACTCTAACTCATCCTCCCAATCCTGGCAGATACCTTCTGAAATGCATTTCTTTCAACATGGTTCTTCCAACTGGATTATGCACACTGTGGCGTAATCGCAGCACTAAGATCAGATTTCAGTGATCTTCCAGCAGGGCAGGGCTTCCCCAGAGCGCTGTGCCCGCTCAGGCTGTGAGCAGACAGCAAGGTCTTCAATGGATGACATGTGGTCAACAGCGGCCCTCCCTTCACTCTTGTCTTATCTTGCTGAAGGTCATGGACTGCAGGTTGTAGATCTCAAACCCTGCAAGCCTTTCACCCAGATCTGTCCCAGGGGTTAGTGTGGTCGTCTGATACTTCACCACACCCTGAGCTCCTCCAAGAGGACAGCCAACCATCCTTTGCACAGCGACTCCAGGTTCTCTCCCCTGGCCTCTGTACAGTGAGAGGAGCCTGTTGGGTCTATTCAGGGCCCCCTACAGAGTCCTCAAACCATCCGGTTCCCACAAAAGGTCTCAGGGTCAAGTCAGACTTCTCTTAGGGCGGTTTACTTTTCTTCAAAGTCATGAAATTGATGACAGCTTTTGGGTCATGATTGGCAAGCATCAGGCTGACAGTTAAGCCGCTGCTGTCCTGTCAGCTTCCTGCCCCTGGCTCCTGACCTCCACTTTCCTCAGATGCAGTACAAAGATGGCAGTGATGGCTCTGACCTTGGCCTTTCCAGTGGGAGGCCTGGACTGTGCTCCCAGCTCCAGCAACTGGGTACATTTCCAGAGTAAACTAAGTGGGAGCTTTCTCTCTCACCCATGTCTCAGAAAGAAAAACCTTCCCTGCCCGCCTCGCCCCCACACCTTTTATTTTTAATTGAAACTGACCACTACTCCTGCTATAGCATCTCATCATCTATTCACTCTTCACTGTAGGACTCCCAGCTTTCTCTACACAAAAAGAAATTGATCCTTGGGCTGAGGCATGCATACACTTTAACAGCAGTTCAAAGTTGCACACATAGGTAATAAAGGAGTTCTCAATGGCCTAATCAAAAATCCCTCTTTAACAACCTGTAGTTTAGGATTAACTTAGTAAGCATGAGGATATTAGCAAAGTAAAGACAAAACAGAAAGGGCTATCTTTCTTTCCAGGACCCAATCAGAGAGCTAACAGCACATATTTTTGGTTTCTCCTACCCAGCCCAGACTAAGGTTTGTTTTTTATGTCCACTGCTTCCCCATGGCCAAAGTGAACTTTTCCTCAGCATGCAATGAGATTTCCACAACTGGCCCAAACTCCCCTACCTAACAACCTCTCTTATCACCATCTTCCCCTGCAGCCACAACAAACATTTAGAGAGCAATTTCTGGAATTTGATATGTTCTTCTCTGACAAGCTTTTTTGCCATCTGAGTTACTGAAAACAATTCTTTCTCACTACAAGCCTGTTCCTGCCCTCCAACCTCATGAGTTCCTATGAATCCTTTGAGACGCAGATGTTACTGCCTCAGCTCCAGCTGGGCCTCTCTTGCTAAGCATGGTAGCTATTTATTATAGCACTTCTCACATTGTAACCACCAGCTTTTCCTTTCCCTAGAACCAGAATTTTCAGAAGGTAGGCAGTGCCAACTCACTGACCTCTGTATACCCAAGGCCTAGCACAATGCCTGGCATTTAAAAACGAGTGACATGTTACACAGAGGTTCCCTCACTATGTATAGCTCTCCACTTTCACCAGCAGGGACTGGATGGGTGATTATGTCACAGCTTGCCAAAAATGAATGCTCTGATTTATAGCTTCAGAAAATAAGCTTTATGTGGCTAAAAGAGCTTAAACCTTAAAACAGTTTAATATCTTACCTTTCAATAAGGTAGTACTTTTTCCTTTCAGCAATTTTGTGGATCTTTAAGGTCCCAGGGTCAGGAGATTCCAACTTCTTTCCAAAACCAAAACCTTTCCACTGGCTTCGTCCTCCTCTCTGTCCTGAGCCTGGACAAGCAGGGCAATAAGCTCCTTGTTTCTAATCTCTACTGCAATAAAGGTGCTGCTGCTGGTGTCCACTCCACTCCCACTCCTCGTGGACACAGGCAGGAGGACTGGAACACAACCACCAGTATCTAGGTCAAAAGGGAACAAGAGGAAACCCACGAGCACAGAGAGCACGGAATCCTTCCTTCTCTGCCAAGAACGCCATCCCCCCGCCCCGAGGCCAAAGCAGCTGAGCCCTTGAGACAAATGACTTCTCGGATCTCAACATACGCGTCAACCGCAATAAGCAAATATTGCAGCAAGTGTTATGTGAAAATGGCATCTGCAACAGAGTGCAGAAATCCTTCTTGAAATGGTAGAGGCCAGGAACTAACAATATAGGAAAATGTTAAAATGGGTTGTTCATAATTAAAAATATGTTATTAAAAAAAAAACATTTACACCAACACAAATAATATTTAGAAAAATAACTTCTGTCCTCTTCCAAGTTTTTCTAAGCTGTTACGTCCCGCTGCAGAGGAGGAAAACTGTTCTCAACTCCAGCTCTGTTCCTGCACCCGCCCACGGTCCTCAGCACTGCTACCTGCCCCTGGGGTCTCACTCCTCACTCTACCTGTGGTCTCAAAAGTCTGCACCATTTGGAACGTTACCCGAACACTACAGGCAAATCTGGGCTTTTGTTTTGGCCTGCTCCTATGCTTCAGCTATGGCCTATCTTTTCTAAATGTAAAATAAATATCTCCAATTCGATATGCTCAGAACCCAAAGTTATTGATACAACCCCCTCTACTCAGTTTCCTGACCTTTTGAAAACCTTGGTCATTTTTGTCTTGCCAAATGATGATGCAAGGCTGTGTGCTGAGCACAGGAAGAGGAGTCAAAGGCAGATGAGATAAGGATTTAGCCTCAAAAACCCTCCCGTGTAGAAGAGCACAAGTCACTGTGCCCGGAAACAAGGGACAGATGAGATGGACTGCCTGGGACGAGGGCCATGGGAGTCCCAGAGAGAAGACGTGAGAGCCGGGTCTAAAGTGTGATGAGTGTGAAGGAAACAGCAAATGTTAAGCAACAGGGCATTCAAGAACGGAACAGATCCACTGAAACTTGAGAATCAGGGAAGCTTAGGAAGAAAGGAGTCGGAAATTTAGCTCAGAAAGGAAAGTAAGTTTGGATAAGAACCGTGAAAGGTCTTGTGTGTCATACCAAACAGAGAATTACTGTGCATACTATTAAAAGATGAGATAGCTTGAAACCGGAGTTGCATCACTGTGGCTTAAGCTGCCACTTGCAATGCTGAACCCCACATCACAGTGCTGATTCAAGTCCTGGCTGCTCTGCTTCCAATCCAGCTTCCTGCTAGTGCACCTGGGATGACAGTGGGAGATTTTCAAATGGAGGAGAAAAAAAGAAACTGCTGTATACCCTTTCACTCTTTGAAGCCTGTAGAGAAACATTTAAATTAGGTTTAAATGTCAAAAC